TCAAGATGAACAATCGACTCCGAAAATTTCTGCTCTTTCGTTAGCGGAAGTTATTAAAGACAACAATATTGATCCTACACTACAGAAGCTTTTATACGAATATGAAAATTCTGTCTTCACTCCATTGTCGACTCTACCACCACAGAGACCTCAAGATCATCACATTGATACAGTAGACGCACGCCCGATCTATAAGCGAGCCTACAAGATGTCCCCAAAAGAGTTGTTAGTTTTAAAGCAACAACTTGATGATTTACTTAAGAAAGGCTTTATCAGACCTTCCATTTCCCCGTGGGCATCCCCTGTTCTATTCGTGACCAAGAGCGATGGTTCCCTCCGGCTGTGTATTGATTATAGAGCTTTGAACTCAATCACAATCAAGAATAGGTACCCACTTCCCTTGATCGAAGAATTTTTCGATCGATTTACTGGTGCTACTGTTTTCTCCAAGCTAGACTTAGAAAGTGCTTTTAATCAAGTGCGTATTCACCCTGCAGACATTCCAAAAACTGCTTTCAATACAAGATATGGCCATTTCGAATACGTAGTCATGCCTTTTGGTCTCACAGGAGGACCTGCTACATGCCAGACTTTAACCAATGATGTCTTAAAGGAATTCTTGGACAAGTTCGTTGTTGTCTTTTTAGACGACATCCTTATTTTCTCTTCTTCTATGAAAGAGCATGTTCAACATCTCAAGCTGGTTCTAGAAGCTTTGAAATCGGCTTCCCTTCACGCAAAGCCCAGCAAGTGTACCTTTGGTGTATCTGAAGTCAAATTCTTGGGTCATGTCATATCCTCTCGAGGTATTGAAGTCGATCCAGACAAGGTTGCAGTCCTTAAAGATTGGCCCACTCCATCCAATGTTCAAGAATTACGCTCATTCTTAGGCTTCACAAATTACTACAGGCGATTTATACGCAACTTCGCCAAGATTGCAAGCCCCTTGACTGATTTATTAAAGCAAGAAGGACAAAACAATGCCAAAAAGAGACCTTTACCACAATGGACTCCTAGCCATCAAGCAGCCATGGACAAGTTGATTCAATTGCTTACCTCAACACCAGTTCTTTACCCCGGAGACTTTTCTAAGCCATTTTTTGTGGAAACTGATGCCTCTGACATTGCTACAGGAGCAGTTCTTTCACAAATGATCGATAACCGTCTTCACCCGGTTGCTTTTGTGTCACACAAGCTCTCTAATTCTGAGAAAAATTTTCCAGTCCATGAAAAGGAACTATTGGCCATAGTCCGAGCATGTGGAGCATGGCGCTCTTACCTCTTAGGATCAGTAGTAACCGTCTTCACTGATCACGCTAGCCTACGCTTTTTATTTAATCAACCTCATCTGAGCGGTCGTATGGCCAGATGGATTGAATTTTTGGCGCCCTACAATCTTGATATTCAATATCGTCGAGGTGTCGATAACTCAGCCGCAGATGCTTTGTCTCGTTTATCTACACCAACAGTTGCCTCTCTTGCAACTACTTCATCTATAAAAGACTTTGCCGCTGATAATGTTGACTGGCCTTTATACATCTATGCCTATTTCAAGGATGGATCCTTACCTGAAGATGATGAATCTGCTAAACTAGTAAGAGATGAAGCAATTCATTTCCAAGTCGATCACGATACTTTGTGTCGTATAACAGAACACGGCCCAGTCCCATTTGTTCCTTTCGTCAATCGAGCTGATACTCTATATATGTATCATGCTGGCTTTGGTCATCTTGGCCGAAACGGCTTATTCGATCTGGTTTCAACTCGTGTATGGTGGCCAACCCTTCGTGCTGATATTATAACAATGGTCTCAGCTTGTCCTGAATGTCAGCTGTTAGCCCGTCAAGATGCCACTGTTGCACCTCTACATCCTCTAGAGCCTACCTTGCCCTTTCAGCGCTGGGGAATGGACTTCATAGGAGCCCTACCGAAAACCAAGAATGGCAATCGTTGGATTATCACCGCAATTGATTATGCTACCAACTGGCCCTTAGCCCGTGCTGTGCATGAAGCGACTGCATCGGCAGTTGCTGACTTTATTTATGAGGAAATTTTTATGCAGTTTGGATGTCCATCTGAAATTGTCACAGACCGTGGATCAAATTTCACGGCAGCGACCTTACAGCGATATATGAATCGGATGGGTACGAACCATCAACTAACATCTGCATACCATCCCCGAGCCAACGGAAAGTGCGAACGATTTAACGGCTTATTAGGCACAATGATTAACAAGTTTGTCGGAAATCATCGTACAGCTTGGGACAGATACATTTTACAAGCCTTATTCGCATGTCGAGTTCGTATACACTCTATCACTAAAGTGTCACCTTTTAAACTGGTTTATGGTCTAGATCCAGTTATCCCTGGAGATACTTCTCACCCTCATTTATTCGACTTCATAACGGAAGATGATTACTCAGCTTACAGACAACAACAGTTTGATCAGATTGATGAAATACGTCGCAAGGCACATGGTCTACAACAGAAAGCAGCAGATCTTATGGCTTCTACCTATGACAAGCAGAATGAAATCGACGAAAATAAATTTCTTCCAGGTGATGCTGTCCTTGTGAAGCACTTCGCTAAGAAGAAATTTGATCAAAGTTTTTATGGTCCCTTACGTATTGTTCGAGCAACGCCTCTACATACCTTTCAGCTTGCATGGCCTGACGGTACGATAAAAGCTGACTTAGTCCATCAAGATAGATTGAAGAAGGCTGTTCTAGTCGATAACGAGATGCCTAAGGCGCCTTGGTATAAACCAAAAAGCGCTTCTGATGAATTTTCTATGGATAATTCCATGGACGGATCACCCATTGAACTTGATCCAGTAACGGCACAAATTCAAGATGCTGCACGACAACGTGTAGCTCAAGAGCAGTTCATCGCTGATCGTGATGCTGTAGCTCCTCCTTCTCCTATCATTCCTCCAGCAAATACTGCTGAGATTTATCAGAGAGAGCTACGGCGTTTATCCAGGCACTCCAGGAGTAGTGCCAATCCGAATGGAGGGGTGTCGTAAATGACGCCTATTCATTTACCTAAATATGTATTTCCTTTCAATTTATTTATTTCCTATCATCCTATTTTCTACCATTTTTAAATAGTATTTAAGTAGCTTTTTCCTTCACTGCAAAAACGGCATCTCTCTTCTTATTATCGATGCCCTTTTGCAGGTGAGTTTATCTTCATTATTCTCATTATGAATTCTCAGAAAATTAGCAGTTATTAAAGATCTCTCTTCTTATTATCGATGCCCTTTTGCAGCATCCTCAAAATCATTCAAAGCATTACTTAGGATCACTATCGTATCCCAAAACCACGAGGCTCTTGCCCAATTCTTCATTTTTCATCATTACCTACTAGTTTCCAGAGATCACTAGTAGATGCTCTACGACAAAAGCTGTCCTAAATCGAAGTAACTTAAGTTCATATCCTATAGCAAGTGACGTCATGGTAGGTAGAACCAGAGGTATACCTATAGTGGTACCCTCAAACCCACCCCGTCCTGCCTGGACCAAGCCCAATGGCTGAGTAGTATACTCGTCAGGGCACCCTCCTGTCTAGTCCAGGGGCCGGGTTCGAGTCCTGGTTAAGGCACATAAAGTGAAGCAAACATGTGCCAGGTCAGGGATTTGCTTGAGTTTTTATACTTTCTCTCCGAGACAGCCTAGTGTTCTCCGCTAAGGCTAAGATCGTGGGTGCACTACCCTAAGTCGCCTGGCTGGCCACATGTCTTAGGTTTATATTCCACCCCCCAGCCGAACCAGCGGTACATCTGGCAGCACATCCCCCCCATCCACCCACTTGACTAGGACAGCGATGATCACAAAGTTTGACGGAGTCCAAAGTAGAAATTTCAGACCAATCCCGCAAGATTTGGGTCCACATGCCAGTGGATTTGATCGAATAGAAAAAATTAAAAAGTCGTCCTTAGCTAGAGTCGGCACGCCAGCCTCCGCGGCTTTTCACGGGCGCAACAGGCCACATCGGAAGGATGGACTTCGAGTACCGATCACGGTGTACATTGGTAGAGAAAAACATGGATACGAATTGGCTCTTCACAGCCATCCCGTGCGAACTTTGAGAGTTTCGCTTGTTTCATAGTTGAGGGCGATATCATTACTTTATAGCGAGATTATGAAATAAAATTCCTCACCTCTGTGGGTTCTTGTTAACACGAAAAAGAAAAATGGATTGAAAACACCGTGATGAGCCGTGGTATTTGAAGGACATACCGAGAGTTTATAGAGCTAACATCTAAATAAACCCTATATGACGTCGTGGGTCCTTGTTATCAAAAAAAAATTAAAGCTCCAGGCTAACAACTGAAGATTGATCACGCTAGGGGACGTAACTGTGCTAGGAGGCACAGACGCAGCAGGGGTAGATCCTTTAGCTCTCATCAGGGACAACGGCGGGCAGCAGACGTGAAGGCGATCAGGACTGAGGCAAATCGAAGGGTAGCGGCAAGCTACCGACATTGGCGATGATGGAGCGCCTGGAAAGTTGCAAATTTTTGATGATTGAGGGTTGGAGCTAAAGGATGGCCTTTGCGTACAACAGGCCAAGTAGGGAGTGGAGCCGTGCCACAGGCTCCCAGAGGACCAAGGAAGTCTACTCAATGCTGATGCGATTTATGAACAGGATGTTGTACTATGGCAGTATGACGATGTGGCTACAGCCAATTATTAGTTACCAGTTTATTTGCGATCCCAGCAATGGAGCAATCCATTTAAAGAGCTAGCGTCTTGGTAAATTCTACGTAACCTCGTGAATCCTCATTATCAGAAAAAAAAAAAAACAAAAATGGCAGATGAGAGATAAAAAGAAGTTTTGAATTTAGCCTTTATTCTTTTATTACAACTGCAACTTCATAATGATTTGCATTTATGGAGAACTTATAGTTACATGCTTTGTCACGTGTAGGATCTGGGCTAAGTGAAATATGTTAGATACGACACACTCGTTTTCACACAGGTTTCATCTCTTTCCAACTCTGTCTCCAGTATAAATGTCACAACAGAACCCATTTCAAAGCACTAAGCAGGAGCACCAAAGCTCTTCTCATCCTTGTATCCATCGATATGAAACATATCCAGAATATGGGACAGCACCCCAAAGGCCCATTGCCGATCCAGAAATAGGGATGAGTTCAACGTCTGCAAATAAAAGAGCAACAATGAAGGCGGCATCGGATACAGCTATAAATGTAACAACTATACCGATCGACTTTACTAAGTGTAACAACACATTTAGGTCTCCTCTATCTCCTGCGCCTCCATCTTCTCGACCTCCATCCTCCCCTCCTCTTGAGCCCCATGATCTTATTGGCGACAAGAATGATTCATGGTTCAACCGGTCACGCCACAGGATCGGGCATATTATCGAAAGCAAAATGACCCACATCATAATCCTTACCCTAACGTCGATTGATATTATCCTAGTCATGCTTCAAATTGGCGCCAGTTTACTTCATCTTGATGAGACTGAAAAGGAGCATTGGACCATATTAATGTTTGAACATACGTCACTTGCTATCGTCAGTCTCTTTGTAGTGGAAATCCTTCTCAAGCTGTATGCATTCGGTCCGTTGTACTTCTGGCGAGGAACCAAGCATGGAATCCTGCATCTACTTGATGCATTAATCATATTGACGTCATTCATCTTAGAATTAGTCCTCAGAGGCGCTGCAGTAGAACTCTCCGGTCTATTGATCATCTTTCGATTATGGAGAATTATTAAGCTCACAGGAACTGTAGCTATCGAAGTCTCAGAGCATGATGAGGCTCGATGCGCGTCATTAGAGGCGAGGATCCAACAGTTGGAAAGAGAATTGGAACAAGCACAATTGAAAATTCAAAGGCTCGAGCGTTTGGATTCACATACCGAAAACAGCAATAAATCTCACTAAGGACAGGCTAATAAAGTTTAAATGTTTGTATTTTTATTCATTAAACCAACCCTGTTCAAGTTAGATAACCAATCTTTTTTTGATCATGCTATATTTCACACGGCTTCGGCGATCCAAATGAAAACATGTCAAGAGTTAGGACATCTTGTTGTCTTTGATTAAAAAATAAAAAATAAAAAAATAGAGCACTTGTATGCGCTATTGCTATTTGGTAATTGAATGAAGAGATGATTTTTGATGTGCCTTGTTTTTACTACTCTTTTGGTTTCATGAACGTCCGCTGTGTCTCGCTAGTTCCATTGCCACTACTATTGCCTCCATTCATTTTCTGACTGCCTTGATTATTAGATTGTGGTGGCGCTCTCCTATTTGAAATGGGTTTCTTTGAAGTAGATGGTGACGTTGATGTTTTCAATTTCTTTGCCTTATTACCAAGTTGATTTGCCATATCTACATCATCAATCTCGTTGTGCCTCTCTCTCTTCAACTCACGATCTAGCCGCTGCTCCCTTGATTTCTTTAAGGCTGATCTCTATTTTTTTTTTTCATTTGTTAGCGACAAGAGATAGCATCAAAGCAAACTATGTTATGATTCCATCAGAAATGTAACACGAGCTTGCTCACCTCGACCTCCTCATTGAAATTTTGAAATGACACTCGCCCAATGCTTGATCGCTCAGTACTCTCCATCTGCAAAAAACTAGATTCGTACTCCACTTGGAATTTCCTTTCAGAAAAAAAATAAAATAAAATAAAATAAAATTCATAGTTAAATTGATTGCCTTCGATCTCAAAGCCCGTAGTTACACGAAGCAGTAGCATTAACATTAGATAATATACAAAACATACGGTTTAGGGAGCTCGATCTTATTTTCCAATACCCAATGGGCCTCAGTAATTACCCTGACTTGCTCCTGCTCCAGCTTTTCCCGTGTCTCTTTTTCCTGCTGTCTCTGCATAAACTAAAAAAAAAAAAAAAAAAAAAAAAAAAAGAGAAACATAAAGCCAAGATAATCCAAGTATGTGAGTACATGGCTAATACTGATAAAATTCATCCCGCTTTTATAGGTTATATTCTTGTCCTTGTCCTTGTCCTTGTCCTTGTCTATATATCTTGAATAGAACTTGATGAAAAATGTGTGCATACTTTCATAGTGAGCAGCTTGCCCGAAAGAGCTTTTTTATGAGGTATTTCAGCAGCCATGTTTTCTAAAAACCACAGCTAGCCAATGAGGGGGACGAAAGAGGAAGAAAGGTGATGAACTATGGACAATGAACACTTTTGAGAATGTCGCCGATTGTTTCTTTCATGGAGTTTGTATCGAAGCCACAAAATAAATAAATAAAAAAAAAAAAGTGCCAGACTAGACTACACACCTGGGCAGCAATGAACAAACAGACTCCTTCAACAATTTAAAAAGCAGCATGGAAGAAAACCGAGGACACAAGGCTAGTAGCATAGCAAACACGTCTCTTGTTGAGTCTTGTGAGAATGATAAGAATGGTGTTTGCTTCAACGCACAAAGCTTATTTTTTTTTCCTTCCTTTCTTCCTTTCAGCGCAGGAAAACTTACGAGAATAAACAACGGTCAGGACCTGACTTTGAAGCCAGCAACAGACGGACCAATAGCATAGAAAGCGATGACATTACCATTAGTAGCAAGCATGGAGACGATTTGCACCAAAAGTCAAAAAATTTATCATTACAACAACTTCAACATGCTGCTCATTTAGCATATCAATTCCCTATTCCTATGAAGGGTCGTCCCTGGACAGTCTCAATTGCTTTGCCAGGAAGTATTCTCGATGGATCGCTGACCGTGGAACTTAAAACATACCTCGTTGGTCAGGTGGGCACCATGTGTGTTGTTCATTAATGGCCTTTTTTTCGGAAAACGGATTTGTAGACCACGAAACTGATCAGGGATTTCTTTCCCCTCTTTCCCCTCTTATGTTTCAAAAGATTGCAAGAGCATGTGTGCTATTCAACGTAGATGAGATTGTCATCTATAATGAGTCTGCAAAAGGCCTGTCCAAGGAAGGAGCAATTGGCAAAGACGACTACTTACCTAAATCTGATCCAAATCTCTTTATGGGACGGGTTCTTCAGTATCTTGAAACACCACTCTACCTCCGGAAATTACTCTTCCCTATGCACAGAGATCTGAAATTCGCAGGACTGTTGAACCCATTAGATCCACCCCATCATGTTCACCAAGATGAACGTTCCTTATTTAGAGAAGGGGTAGTTATTCGAGCCAGGGATCAAAAGTACTCAATCGTCAACTGTGGCATGCGGAAAGAAGTTTTGATTGATCGATTGGTCCCCACCGGCTCCAGAGTTACAGTTCGGATCCATGGTGCAGAAAAGGATAAGAAAAAGATGGACAAACACTCAAAAACTGCAGCAGCAATTGCTGCCATGGAGGCTAGTCTGCTAGAAGGATCAGATGACAATAAGGCGGCACTACAAAAGTACTTTATGGGCACTGTGGTATCGCCAAAGACCCCGAGGGAAGAGACAGGGTACTACTGGGGATACCAAGTCCGATTGGCAGATTCTATTTCCAAGGTCTTCACAGAATCACCTTTTCCTGTAAGTCAATGTTATGTCATATTTGAAGGAAAACACAAAAATGCTTCTTTTTTATTAACTGATACAGTTGACTCCTTAACTACAACAGAATGGATACGACTTGACCATCGGTACATCGGATAAGGGTACACCTATTTCTTCAGAAACGGCTTCAAGTATCTCCAACTTTTCACATGCGTTGGTTGTCTTTGGAGGCGCAACAGGCATTGAGACTGCAGTTGAGGCGGACGAAGACCTGAAATGTGATGCGGACGAAGCAAAAGACATGTTTGACTTCTGGCTCAACACATGCCCATCCCAAGGAAGCCGAGTCATTAGGACAGAAGAAGCAATTTTGATCACCATGGCTACTCTGCAGGGTACCCTAGCATCCAAAGGGGTCTGATGTCTACCATTGCTACATTAATACACTAATAAAATTCAGATAATGCCTTAATTTTATTCTTTTCATTACGGTGATCCTCTTACAAAAAGATAAATTTCTATGACATACAGCATTTTTCTATGCCAAAAAGACATTTTTATCCTTGTTACGCTGATGGCTGGCTTTGTTCTCTAACCGTAGAGAATCATCTTCTCCCTCCAAGATTGCCACTATCATTTGGAGCCAACGTCCTTCTCTCTCAGTCGTGCCCTTTTCTGGCTCGTCAATCCGCTTTCGCAGAATCTTTTCCTGTTCGAACGATTGCAGAAGAAAAATGGTTAGATAAGTATTTCCTACGTTTAAGATATATAATTCGATAAGCTTTTGCCGACTTTACCAATTCTTCACGCATCATCTTGAAGACAACTGCAGTCTTTGCATGACATTTGAACTGAATCCATTTGTCAACTGTCACCAGTTTAGCGTGGTGCTGTCGATATTAAAAAAAAAAAAAAAAAAAAAAAAAATGAGCGAGTGTAGTTCTAGGCTTTCATCTCTTTGAAAACATTCTATGATCATTTAAAGTCAACAAATGCATACTATACCTTGACAGAAAGCTCTCCGCCAAAGAGCACTAACGGGAATTGGCCTATACGGCAGCTCTCCCAGACGTACATTCTTGTTGACTTGACTAAACTGTTGAATACAAACCAAGGGCTCAAATCTTGCCCTGCGGCTGCCGCCGTTGCTAGAGCAGCGCCAGCTCCTCCTTTCGTAAAATTAACGGACGAAGGATGGATCCACACTGTCTCCTGTTTTGGGCCTGTCACATAAGCTTTCATTTGATCATTCCTCATCATCACCTTAGGATACATCCCCGCTGTGATGGCCGCATTCAATACAGGGATCGACCGTTGATAAACATTATATTCCTGAATCACTGGACAGAATGTAATCTTTTGATTAAACCGCTCTTTGTTCAACTCTCGTTTCGTTTCTGCATCCACCTGCACAAATCCTGTACCAATCAAAAACTCCAGGAACTGTCTTTTCATATCCTCCACCATACTTAGGTTCTGATGGCTTAAGAAGTTCTTACGACAGTAGTCATAGATACCGCCCATCTTTTGATGTTGCTGATAGGATTGGCGCCAGCCCAAATAAGCATTGTACCATGTCAGCATGTCCGAATCTGCAAGCTTGAATTTAGCTTTCGCGGCATCAGCCTCATCCTCCGCACCAAACGGTGTCACAAACGGAGATTTGAAGCTGAGCATCGCAGCAATGGTCAGGATTGGGTCCAAACACTTGAAGATGGCCCCAAATAGGATCATCTTGCCAATATGAACGTCCACAGGCAAGTTGCATAAATGGATTCCTAATGGTGTCAGCTCCTCTGTCTTAGTCAAAGCTCGAACATCCTGCAGCGCTTGGATCGCGTTCTCAATCGCCTTTACTGGAGGAGCATCAAGCGCACTTCCCAAGACCTCTGCAATCTCTCCAAGCTGACACATTTTTATCATCAGACACAGTTCCTCAAGGGGCATGCGCATGATTTCTGGCATCTGATATTCTGGCATAGTTTCTTCAAAGGTTGTCTTAGAGAACAAATGAAAGCAGACGCCTTCCTGAACACGTCCAGCACGCCCTCGTCTTTGACGCACGTTCGCTCTAGCGATGAAGCGCTCTTGTAAAGTCGTGACCCTTTTCTTCTCATCAAATTTGATTTGCTTGGATTTGCCAGTATCGATCACAATGGTCACATCCGGAATTGTGATACCAGTTTCCGCAATGTTGGTCGCCAATACAATCTTACGAACGCCCGGTGCGGGCGTATCAAAGACTTGGTTTTGACCCTCAGATGAGATAGAGCTGTGTAGTGGCCACAGTGAGAATTTAGTTTCGTCTGCGAACCGACGATTGGCCTTGAGGCCATCAAACACTTTGCGAATCTCGGGCATTCCAGGCAGGAATATCAAGATGGCTCCTTCCCCAGGAATAGAAAGAGAACGCTCTGGTTCGGAGGTGGGGAATCCAATGTCGCCCTGCCATGTACGGCGATCTTCTGGAAAGCAGATATATTCGAGCAAAAGTTGAATCAACTCATAATTGATCTTGTTCTCATCAATTCGAGCTAGCATTTGATCACTCCTGTTCGCGACCACTGGGTCCTGTAGAGTATCATTCATCATCGTTATTCTAGCCTCCGCCTCTTGAGGGATATATGCGCCTTCCATCTCCCTTTCCCATTGGAGATGAACTGTCTGACGACTAGCGCCTTTTCCAGCAATATCAACCGAACCCTTACCTTTCAAATAGTTTAGAAAAAAGAAGTTAGTTTACGAGCGGCAATAAAACTAAAAAGCGAATCAAAGAAATCGTCGCCCACCTACTTTGGATATCTTTGCGGTAGCGGACCGCATATTCTGAATCCTCTTCCAGAGTGTAGCCAGTGAATTCGACTACATCCTCCAAAAACTGAGGATGAACCGGAAAAGTCCGTCCAGGGACCTCGAGGACTGGACAGCCACCAAAATATTGAGAAAAGCGTGCCGAGTCGACTGTAGCGCTCATTAAGATGATCCTGAAATAAACAAATTAATATCAATGATTAAATCCGCCATCAAGCTAATAATTCATTCAAGAAAGCCATCAATCAGCCAAATATCAATGTATACACGAAAAACTTACTTCAGGTCTGGACGTCGAGGCAGTAGTTTCTTGAGGATGATGAGCAGAAAGTCAGACTCCAAAGTGCGTTCATGGACTTCATCTATGACCAGGTGAGTGACGCCTTTCAAGTCTCCATCGCTCTCTAGTCGTCTTAGCAGAATACCTGTAGTACAGAATTTGAGGATGTTGGAGGGTGCAACGCGTGATTCTAATCGGATCTGATACCCAACTAGTGTATTGGGCTTGCCCGCAGAATTCCTTGCATCTCCCAATTCTTCTGAAACTCGGTTAGCGATCGAGATCGCAGAGATTCGACGTGGCTGTGTACAAACAATATCGCATTGATCGCCCAGACCAGATTCCAGCATGTACTCTACTAGGTACTGCGGCACTTGTGTACTCTTTCCGCATCCTGTCTCTCCAGACACGATCAAGACTTGATGGTTCTCTAAAGTTGTCAAGAGTTGATCCCTAAATTTATAGATGGGCAGCTCCTTTCGCTTTTCGAACAGTTTAATGTAATTGGGTCGTTTGAGTCGTTGTTGCCAGTTTTCCTGTAATGTTCTTCCAATACTTGTAATAAAATTCTTTCCTTCCTTGTCCTTCTGCTCCTTTGTCTCTATTTTATCAATATCATTGACTAGTCCTATTTCATTTTGGCCAGTATTTCCTCGATTTGGTAACTTGGCTGTCAACCCTTTAATGAATGACAGACGGTCTCCATCGATAGCCTTTTTGGCTATCCTTCCAGCAGACTCCTTTTCGTCGATCCACTCTAGCCACAGATCACGGTATGTTGGTGGCAGCGATCGATAGAGGGGTAGAGATGTGAGATTATATAGCATTTTTGTTGCAGCATAATTCTCAGCTTCTACCATATTTTCACAGCCTTCCTCGCTCATTTCTGCAGAGTCTACATTACCACTGCCCCAAGTCACTGTGACTGTGGCCATAGAGGCTGTGGATGAGGAACGTGAAGCCTTCTTGTAGACGACCTTTGAATGGCGATCTTTCTTACGACAAAACTCTGCTAGCACAACTTTGGGGGATCCACCACTCCAGGATGGGTTTGCCATGACACGTCGGCTCACTGATGATTGGCCTTGTTGAGATGGTGTTATTGTAGACGGAGGATCCGTATTTCCCAGGTTTTCCATGTCGCCTATGAATCCAAGCATGTCTCCGCCATCGTCATCTCCAGCGCTCTCTCTTTCAATAGTTGCTGAAGTAAAAGGGGTAGGACTTTCCTTCATGAGAGCCTCTTGTTCCTTCTCCTTTTTACGCTTTGATTTTTTAGCCCTCTTCTTTTCGTCAATGAGTCTTTGTTTCAACATGGATTCAGCCAGTTTCTTGTTGAACGTAAAATCAATATCTAGATCATTGATCTTTGAATTCAAGCTCTCCATCTTGCGAGCGATGGCTTTTCGATCTACGGGCTCCTTTGTTTCCGCAAGGGTCTGAGTCAATTCCACCAGTGTCATTTTGTAACTGACATAGCGTTCGTTCGGATCCAGTGCTTCTTCTTCGGATTCCTCCTGTAGTTTGAACCGATCCATTCAGGCAATAGAATAGTCAGTAGCTAATGTATGACTGAAACCATAATAAAAAAGAAAAGACAAAAAATATCATAAGGTTGTGCTTACAGCAAGAGCAGCCTGGAGGATCCATTCCTTTTCCTTGGACGCTGTTATTGTTTCTACTACTGGTTCAAGAACATGTTCCGGTACTGACGCTTTCTCCCTCTCCTCTTTTTGCGGTTGGGCCGTAGATAGGATCAATATCGAAGTCGATACTGGTAATGATGGTGTATGCTCAGCGAATGGTTGTGACGAATGAGCCGATATCTTCATTTCTATTTGTAAAAACATAGGTAATGAAAAGTAAGTTGCCTCGCTTCTAATTTGCCATTTCCCCTATTATATTATAACCATTCCATTTCAGAACTAGATTGGTATGACTTCTTACCTTCGTCATGATAGACCTTGTCTGCAAATCCTCGAGGGAGCTTTTCCGAATCAAGGTGCATACATAACTACCAGCAAAAGACAAAGAACCTCAGTTTCAGTTCATGCACTGTCTGAAGTGGAGCTGAGAAGAAGCTCAACAGCAAGAACAAATGCATTTGGTCATATCATTAGCGCAATACCCAGTCCAATGCATCTTCAGAATCACCAGTGTATGTATGCTTAAGCGCCTCTTCGATATCATCCTTTTCGAATCCGAGTCGAAGCAATGCCAGATAAGTAACATTTAGTTTGGCGACCGTCTGCTCTTTGTTCAAGTACACATTGGGTTTGAAATCGGCTATAAAAAAGAAAAAAAGAAAAAAAAAAAAAGAAGAAAATTGTAAACAACTGATGCCTGAAAATGCCCTTACAGTATCACATTCACGCAAGGATATCTTTTTTTATGCATTTACTCGCGTCCTTGGTCTCAGCTTCTTTCAACAATCCAATGACGCTATTCTCCAAGTTGGACTCCATCTTCAATACAGGCAGGGTGTCGATATTGATCTTTTGAGTTTGGCCCAAGAAAGCATCTACTTTCTTCAATGAAAGACTCTCAAGCCTCTCTGCCAACGACACAAATTCATCTTCAAGTTCTTCTTCTATTGGTGGCGGTGGTGTGGCTACAAGTGCGTTAGCATCAGGAGCTGCTGCAGGCGCAGGTGCAGGTTCAGGTTCAGGTTCAGGTTCAGCAGCACCGGGTTTTGCTTTAGGGATAGATGTCGTAGCAAAGCCCCTTGCAGCTGCATTTGCGTACTTGTTCTTCTTCTTGGGTGGCATTTGATTTCCGTGTCTAGTTGAGGGATGTGTCAATGAGATGAAGAGAAGGAATGAACTGCATCGCTGATCTCTTTATTAGCCCGCAGCAAGCGTGGTTTTCCACTACACTAAATCTACGTTCATAACGAAGTGTCTGCCTTTGTACGACCTTTTGAGACACAATTTTCATAACCTTATTCAGCAATCTGCTGTACGGGAGCTATCAGAATCTTGTGCCTTTCCGCCCAAGCACAAAATATATACATGTTATTCAATAGTAAAAAGCAGCAAGTATGAAGGACACAATAACTCTTTATTTGACAGATGTGTGAATCAAGGCATAGTGGTTTAAAATAATAGCGCTTTTTTATTTTTACATGTTGCTGGTGAAGAACCACTTGTCAATCGAGGCATCGATGGGAGCGGGTGCCTTGGCTGAGGCAGCAGGAATGCTCTTGGCGATTTGGTCGTCAGCAGCAATCTTATAAGGGCTGTTGTCAACATGAAGGTTGGACCTAATGAACCCAAAGATAAAAAACATTATATGTCAGATTAGGCAATATCCAAGATACACATGGTTTACTTTTCTCATGGCCAACTTACACTTTGATATCATAAGCTTCTGCCTTAGGAGGGATTTCCCCAGTGATGAGACGCTTCCAGGCATGGTGGGTCTCCTCAATGACTTTGGTTGCGTAGGCCTTGTCCTTGGCAGCCCCATTGAATGCAAATTCATTTTCGGGCTTGCCATCGGGCTTCTTGTAAATGCGGAACCAGTCACGAGTAGCATCAATGAGGCCAGGAAGGTGCTTCTCAACATCAGCGATATCATTGAGCTCATCAGCCAAGGGATCCTTAATATCGATCACAATGACTTTCCAGTCAGTCTCACCTAATTATCGCATTATCCCAAACGAAAAACGAGGACAATAAATAGACAATATTAGAAGGCTGCTCATCATCGTTCTGATAAAGCTTGGTTTGTATTTGTTTCCAACAGGAGGTACAAAACAATAGTGTGGAGTAATGTTGAACTCCTAAATCATGCAATCATGCAAGAGACCGATGGAAATGATGACGGGAAATAAAAAAAAAAACGTCTATGTTCTATTCCTTACCCTCATCCAAGAGAGCGATAACACCAAGTGCCTTGACTTGCTTGATTTGACCGGTGTATCCAACCGACTCGCCAATCTCACAGACATCCAAAGGATCGTTGTCTCCACGAGCCTGAGTATCATGATCGATATGAGTAGGGTCCTCCCATGTCTGTAAAATCAGGGGTGATAAATATATAACAATTGCAGAACGCTGAGTAACCGTTGATAACCTACTTATTGTAGCCAATTTTTTTTTTTCTTTTTTACCTGAGGCAACGCGCCATAATTCCAGATGTAGCCGTGATGGGGGAAGCAGTTACGAACGAAGCGAAGTTTGCCCTTCTTGACATCTTGCTTAATGGGGTTAAGTTCCTCATCCTTGGAGATTTCAAGCTTGGCATTGGTCCATCGAGGGATCTCAACGATCATGTTGTACACGTTCTTTGCCTCATTGGTATATAGGGGAATGTCATGGAATGGCGAAATAGGGGTGCCGTTCTTTTCTAAACAAGGGTAGTGATTGATAAGGTTGATATTTAATCTACTGGATGCTGTTCAATCTATTACCATGTAAATGACGAACTGATGTTTTACTTACCAATAAAGACACGGTGCTCAAGAGTGTTGGGTGCACCAATGACACGGGTGGAATATTCAGACATGTTGAATAGTGAAGAAGCAAAGACAGAGGATGAGTGAAAGGATGCGTGACGAGGCAGTTGGTGCAAGGAAATCAGACGACAAGAAGTAGGAGGAAGGAGAGATGTGGAGGTAGTTAAGCGAAGAGGAATGCGACAAAGGCGAAATGAGGTTTTGATCAATGACGCCAGGTTGGAAAAGCTGAATTGATTGAGAGGATGTTAGTGTGGTGTGGGAAATGTATAATGATCCGACATATCTGCCAGAAATGTCGTGCTTTTTGATCAATGGTATCACGTGTAACCCTGATCTTCCAAAAATTAAGTGACTGCGACGGGATGTCGCGCCACAACTAAAATTTGCAACAGAGTTTCGGGCAGTCATTCTCCAGTTAGGGAAATCTTTGTATCGATTGGACATTTTACTCAAGAATAGGAGTTGATGTATTATATACGAGAAATTAACATTATGGGTTAATCAAAATATCTAATACAGATGCGTTAACATCAGATCCATTTGAACCTCTGCCATAACCAGCAGGTCCTATTATTGTGCTCACATAACGTGTGGCCCCATATAATCTAATCCATGCTGAAGTTACTCCATTACTGCGAATCATATAGTAGATTAACCATGAATTTCTCACGCGATCCAAATAAAAATAAATGACAAAATGCCCCTCCATTAATACATTGACACATCCACTTCATCTATTCTTCCTTTTGTCTTTCATGAACTGATTGTTCTTTTTTTATTCTTCCTTTGAATGGAACGTGTCTTGCTGTCTTTCCGTGATGATCATTGAATCCCGTCTCGTTGTTATCCTGCTCACTTTCACAGCTGGAGGTCTATTCTTGGCCATATCCCACCACACGGCCAATCTCCATAATTATAAACCCATTGCAATCGATATTCTCGACCATGCTCACATACATAATGACAATACTCCGCTAGGAGAATATAACTATTGCCAGGCATCACGGCCAACGTTGAAGACATATCCATCACCTAAGGTAAAATACAAAGCATCTAAGTACAACAGGATAAATCCCATGAACGACAGCTTTGCTCAACCTCATATTTCGTTAATGACATTTATAATATAATGCTATGCATTCTTTCAGTAGCTCGGTTCTCCTTAACCAAGGCAGCATTTAACTGTTCATTTATTTTTTTTATTTTTATTTTTTTTTTGGGTTTTAGTTAAAGGGATCAACCTTGATGAATTCACAGATCTTTATTCGTCATGGCGATCGGTAAGCCTTTCAGCTTTTTCTCTCTCAATCTTTTTTGTAAAAAAATGCGACAGAAGCCACGTTTTCATTTTACTGATGTCTCTTGGCCACATTTTTCAAAATAGCACGCCAATTGCTGTCCTACCATTAGATTTAAATCTGACGTGGGACTGCACTAATGCGGATGCATTTGCCTTCACAGGATTCCGTACAAAAAAGGACGAACGTGCACCTTTTCAGTACGCTAACGTGGTTGCTCATCAAGTCGTTACAACCTCGGGATCACCTTTTGCTGCAACACGTATGTGGAAGGGCAACTGTATGCCGGGCCAATTGACACCTGTAGGAGCCATGCAGCATCGCAAACTGGGCGCAGCTCTTCGTCAGATCTATGTTGATAATCTAAAATCGCTACCTGCTGACTATGACCCCGAAACTGTTTACATTCGCAGTACTGGTAAACTTATTTTTTAAGTAAAAGTCAACGATGGGAATATAGTCATTTACTTTAGGACATCAGCGAATGTCCGATATCTATCTGTATATTTATCCTCAGTTCTTCTTCATCACAACTAGACTTTTGGCGTACAAAGCAGAGTGCGGAGAATTTTATGGCAGGACTCTATGGCATTCAGCACCACTCAGAATCTTCACCGCCTCCTGTGTTGCATATTCATACTCTTCCAACTGAGATTGACTATCTGACTATAAATTCTGGGGCCTGCCCGCGCGTCTCACAATTGCGAACCGCGATTGGCAAGTCCTCCGAGGCCTTAAGGAAGCTACGAGAGGATAATGTTGAGTTCAATAACGAGTTGATTGAGATCTTGGGCGAAGAAAAATCATGGTCTGGTTATTTGGACACGGTCATGCCCAGGATATGTCATAAAATGCCATTGCAATGCAATGGAGATAAATGTGTGACCTCTAAGGCAGCCAAAAGGATACTTGACAATGTTCATGTCCAAAATACAGTGATGTATCGAGATGGCAACGGCGTGCTTGAGTTGTTGCAATTAGGTATCGGACCTTTGGCAAGTGATATTAAGCAGAACTTGTTAATAGCCAAGGAAGGTAATAGCAAAGTCCGGTTGAGCTTTTACTCTGGGCATGACACGACCATCCAGCCATTGCTGGGTATGTTTGACGCTGAAGACCAGCAATGGCCTCCTTATGTAAGCTATTTATGTTACAAAAAAAAAAACTTTTCAATTCAGGAATTTCCTTAACATGGGTTCAAGGATATGACATTAACATTTGACGGCCTATTGTCATTCTTTTTTTTAGGCATCAAACATAATACTAGAACTCTGGAAATCCTCCCCCGGTGAGCACTTTGTCCGTGTCCTTTACAATGGCGAGGTTCTCGATGTGAAATCGAACTGGTGTGATCTTGAGTGGTGTCCTTTTGATACCTTCATTAAGTATCTGGACAGATTTATTCTTAAAGACCTCATGGCAAAATGCCAGAGTCAGTAAAATAAAAGCTTTGATAGCAGAGAGTAAATATGTGTAAAAGTAAAAACACCACTTTCGCAATTACATTTTAGTATATGTCATTGCTCAATTCCCTTTCTTCTCCTCGCGAGTTGCTCAAATCTCAACATTCTAGTAGGTCGTCGCATCATGGATGATGAGCTATTCGGTGCCAAATCCTCAATGAAAAGATTGGGCCTGCCAGAGTGATCAAGCAAACCATTCACACAGACATGTACCTATAAGTTTGTAACATACTGTAATGACGTATTTATTGCTCTACATTATTTCTGCAATCGTTATCCATTCCACCGGCGTTGAACTGGTCTTTGGCTGGATGATACCCTTTCCTATGATCAGCAATATAGAACATCTTACCTGTTTTCATATACCAAGAGTCAATCCGAGGCGCGTGAAATGGCTGAAATTAGTCCATCATTAACTGCTTAGTTAATCGGGCAGACAAAATGTCTCACATCTTTGTCCTTAAGTATCATTTTTTGGCTTCTTTCTCTTCTTTCTTCTGTTTCATACTCTCTTTATTTATCTTCTTGCTCTAGTTTCCTATTCATAAACAACGACTTCACCACATCATGAATGAACAAAACAACACAACCGCTGATAATCACAATATCCACGGCCCCAACTTTGTCAGAAAAATTGTTGATAAAGTCACCGGCAAGCACCACCAAGGTCATTCCGATAAAGAACATCATGGGGATGGCACCCCCAAGCATCATCAGCAGCAGCATAATACCCATCATCAGTATGGCAGCCCTGTAAACCGCCACGACAATGCATATGTTGGCGAAGCTGAAATCGTAGGTGCTCATGCCATCCCGCCAATGACAACACATGCGGATCCAACTTATCGTAACGAACAGCAACGTCAGAAGGCGCATGTGCAAGCGCAGAAGCAGACCCAGGCCTTGTCCAACCCTTCAGCGCAGCAGCCCGCAACCACTAATGTTGTGCTCCCTTTCCAGGGTGACCCTACGGTCGGTCATAATTATCACGCTGCCGAAAATGAACGCCAGTGACCATTTGTATAAAATATCCTTCATTAGCTCCCAAAAGTAGTATATGACCCATCTTTTCAGACCTGCTTCATGCATAACATAATTAATAAACATTGTTAGCTTCATTTAGTTTCCCAGACTAATACCTCTGATGTAATAATCCTTCTCTCAACTTGATCAAAATCTCACTCGTACCCATACCTGGTTCGCTATGATGGTGAATGTGGCCCTTCTCTCTTTTTGTTACTATTCACAGATGTTCAAGACCTTGGACTTTTATTTTATTTTTGATAAAGAGGATTCGCGAGGACATGTAGAATTCATTAAAGTATATTTATTAAGACGTTAGCTCACGCCTTCCGGCACCAGATCAATATTATATTTACACTCTTTTCTTCTCTCTAAGAGACAATATTACAAGGACCTACAAGAACATTATTTACCTTTTTTTTCCTTTGTAACAATTTGTCTCTCTAAACGAACAACGTTATAAAACTGAAGGACTATCTAGTCTAGAATGTAATTGATACCTAATCCTCCGAAGAGGATCGCTTTATAGGCCCCAAAAGTCTAGTCACGTTCCCTCTTTTTTTTTTTTTTTTTTTTTTTTTTAATAACAAAGGGCCCTCTCAGGGCTATGGGATTTATTTTCTACACTCCATGAACAAAATACTCCAACGCTCCTTCGGTAAGCTCTTCGGGTGCCGCGCGACTATTGCCACGGCTCATCATCGTGTTTAACGTCGAAAACATACTGTTGCAAGAAAGGGGTCGCCCCATTCTTTAATGGTTGTCATCTGCCACTGTCTTTACGAGCTCTGCGGCGATGGGTCTATTTTTTTTTTTTTTTTTTTTTTTTTTTGATAACAAGGACCCACGAGGTCATGTAGGATTTATTTAGATGATTTAGATGTTAGCTCTATAAATGGGTTGCCCCATTACTGGGGTCGCAAATAAAGCGGTATCCAATAATCGGCCGAAGCCGCATCGTCATACTGCCACAGTACTACATCCTGTTCATAAACCACGTCAGCATTGAGTAGACTTCCTTGGTCCCAGAGGACCTGTGGCACGGCTCTACTCCCTACTTGGCCTGTTGTGCGCGAAGGTCATCCTTTAGCCGCTGTCCTCAATCATCAAAAATTTACAGCTTTCCAGGCGCTCCATAATCGCCAATTCCACCTGCTGCCGGTAGCTTGCCGCCACTCGCCGGTCTGCCTCAGTCCTGATCACCTTCACATCTGCTGTTCGTCGTTGTCCCTGGTGAGAGCCAAAGAATTCACCTCTGCTACGTCTGTGCCTCCCAACACAGTTGCGTCCCCTGGCGCGTTTGCTCACAGAGGTGATACCATTGTCTCTTTCCCAGTTGACGGTGACTTTGCAGCGTCTGTTCCAGATTTCAGTCCTGCCGAGTTCCTCGATTGACTTGACAAAGCGGCAAACAATGTACCTTGAGATCGATGCTGTGGTTCTGAAGATCGTCTTCCATTTTTGTATCAGTTCCTTCGGCACCAAACCGTGGTACAAGTCTTGGACAGTCCAGTGGGCATCCTCACCCTCGTTCCTCCGTCCCATATCCACATCTTCCTCACCAAACAGAGTGCTCGCATGTCGAATCTCTCTGACGCCCTTGAACATCGCTTCCAAAGAGCCCCAAATCACGTTGTCGGCTACAGGTGTAAACGAGGGGCCTCCTTTATTCAGGTTTGGCTCCTGTGTTTTCCCTTGTTTGTCTTCCCAGAGCTTCTTCTCCTTCACTAATGCTCTTTTGCCATCCTTCGTGATGAGTTCTATGGCCTGCTTCCAACCTTTCAATTGCTCGTCCAGTGTCATGGGACATCGCCAGAGGTGTTCTATATCCTCCTGCTCCTGTTCACACATCCTGCAGATGTCAGTCTCATACAGGTCCGGTCGCCACTGCCTCATATAAGTGAGTGTAGGAAGCATACCATGGACCTTCTTTATTCTGTGCGCTCTCTTGTGACAATCTGCTGGGCTGGTGAAGAGGCCTCTAAGCGTGTTGCCATCGTGAAGAATATGCAGGCTTGCTTTCCATTCTAATTCTCGCCAGTCTGTAATATAATTCCTGACTCTGTTCTGAGACGCCCACAAGTAATGTGTTCTCACTACTGATTGGAGTTTTAGCAGGTGTCTAAGATCATCCTCCACCACCTCGTTCTCGAAAATAGCGTGACAGCGCAGATCGTTGTGTTCCAGTCCTTTGATTGTCCACATTTCGCTAAAATGAGCATCTTTGGCGGCTTGGTCTGCCCTTATATTGCCTCTATTCCCAGCATGGCCTTTGACCCATTTCACAGTTACCTTCCCGCCCTGCTTAAAGAGCGCTCTCGAAATGGCTGCCCACCACACTGCGTACTTGGATCGCAATCGCTGCCGTTCAGTGCTTGTTTCTCGCTTTTGAGCAAGGTCCTTGAACTGAACCACTACCGCCATGTTGTCTATGTAGACAGTCGTTGGAACGTTACGGGGACTGACTAGGATGGCTGCGTACAGTCCTACTAGCTCTGCCTTGGTGGATGAAGCATACCCATCGACTCTACCTGGCGATCTTGTAGATCGAAGAGCCATGATATTTGAATTTTGAATTTTCTCTGCATTTTCTATAAGTGCACAATGCTCAAATCACGTGATAAGAACACTTAAAGGGAATATGGTAGTCTTGAATAAACTTCTGTAAAACCGCAATTGATACTTTTGCTGCTTTCAGTCTAATCCTCTGCACCTAAAAAGTAGCAGTGAAAATGGCATGCAAGCAGGCTTGGGTTCTACTCCCAGGTGAAAAAAAGAAGAGTAATGCAAGAAGCGGTGACACGGAGTCTCGAAGCGGCATGGGCTGATTAAATCCACAGCTCTTCTGTCGTCAATAGTACTTCCAAGATCAGAAACAATGCCTCAGGTCAGCCGTCGCTCGAATGCAAACCGCGATATTCTATTAACCAAGGCATCGAACATTTTTAGCCTTTTTCTGACTCAGTTATCATGAACGAATGAATATGAACACTTTTATTCTTGCTCACTGTGTCAAAATTCTCAGATCAATTGTTTCTCTCATTACGCATCATTTTCTCAGGTTAGCACTAACCCTCGCTCCTAATTCAATTAAAGACGTTTTTATTTATTTATTTTTTTTGCGATGAATATATTATCATAATTTTAGAGGACTATGGATGACTGTGAGTAGCAATCAAAATGAATGATGTTCATTAATGATCGTAATGCTTGATTAAAAAGAGAAATGAGGGGCCCTCTATTTATTAAATGTTGAACTCAACTTTACAAATTTATACATAGACTTTATCTGTTTAGATCATGTTTGTATCTTGCTGCGTACAAGATCAAGCATGCGTTCGTTGACAGCGAAGACGTTTTACTTTAGATGGCACTACCTTCCCTAGACAGAGCGCGTATTTGGTGTATATATTTACTAATCAAGATGCATGGATGATTGCTGAGTCTTGAATGTCTGAACATTGGCAATACGTTTGCGGGCGTTTTCTTAGCGCAATTCCTTCATCCACTACCTAAAAAAAGAAAAAAAACCTGGATGGCAGTAATGAAATGACATCTCTTCTTGCTATGTGCGTGTGGCATTCCAATATATAGATATGTATTCTAACAGCCTTTTAGAGTCATACTTTTGACCTTTGAAGAAGTTTGTTCTGGATAATAAAAAAACTGTCAGTCTAATATGTCATCTATTTGCTGCTAGGTGCCGGTGCAAATGTCAAGGAAGACAATTCTCTCACAGTACGAAAAGGATAAAAAAGCGAAGACGCGTGGCACTTGATCTAGATTGCAAAAGCTCCAATTAAACAATTATGATGTAGAAGGGTTGTGGTTCACCGGGAAAGATATAAATATGAGATATAATATTATTACGCTTACTATCCCTTCTATTTGATGGTTAAACCATTTCTATGCCGAGGAATGACTTTCTGTTGCTGTGGGTATAGAAAATACTATTGTTCTACTTTCCGTGCCCCGATTATGACAAACATATGGGGCCTTGCAAGCACATGGAAGCCTACAGCAAATTCGATGTCAAACGCAATGCTGGTCCCACGCATATCCAGCCTGAGCAGGTCCCAAAACATGATCGATATCATCAGTTATCTCGCTGCCTTTATGACGACAACCGCAAGCAGAAGAAGCTGAAAAGAGAAAAAAAAGAGGGGTAGGTGACTGAGTTACAGAGATCTGCTGCTCGCTTTTTTAGTGAGATCTTTTCAAATATAAACGGTTTGCTTAACAAAATTCTTGTAATTGAAAAGGACTGACCAAAAAGAGCGATCTCTGGTTACAGGAATGCACAATCTTGTCATAGACGTGGCTGTGAAAGATTAGTAACTCCTAACTCGTCTAAGGGTGTTTGCTTACACGCATATTTTCTAGACTACACTAATTTATATGGATTTTCTGTAGTTCCTTGATTCCTCCTCAGCCTCCAATGGTGCTTGACGTTTGGTGCGCAATGGACAACTGTCTTTTATCCATGGATATGCTCCATCCTTGTCTGTTGGCTGAGGGTAGAGGGTCGCTGTTGGTATATTAGATGACTTCAGACGACGTTGTCTCTGATCATGAAAAACAAGGATCCCTTGCAAGCACATGTAGGTTGCAGGAAGGGTCCGCGATGGATTCACTGTCAAACGCACGCAATACTGCACCTGCATGTACCCAACTCGAGTAGGCCCGAAACACGGCCGATATCAATGATCATCTTGGACGGTCTCTCGAAGGCTTTCTCTCATCATTTCTGCTACGACAACTAAGAGAGAGCTGAAGAGAAGGAAAGAAAAAAGAATAGAGCGAGAGGAAGCTGCCGCTGAATTGTCTAGATAGAATAATAACGAGATGATGGACGTATGGAGGAGAATGGGCTCCTTTGCGATTGATGTAAGTATAACGCGACTTCCACATAGGGAAAGGCAAGCTGTTGCAGATCTACAGAATATGGTTCGTAAACTAGAACCAAGTAATAAATCAGCTGACCCCTTTGTTTTCGGCCAAGATTTTGTTACTTCGAAACGCGACCGTGGCTCTCTAGAAAGGAGTAATATGGCAACTACAACAAGAAGACTAGTTGGTTCTGAGTTGATATAATGACATCTTCTTTATTGGGGTCAATGACAAGCTGCTTCACGCGTTTAATTGAGGTTTCACCTTGTACGGCATGATGAATAGTTTTTACGGTTATATTTCACGTTCCTCACTCCTTTCCTGAAGATTCCTTGAGATCTTTTGTTAGCTTAAAGCATCATGTCTCATCGAATCTTTTCCATGACTCAATCTCAATATGTCTCGCTGGCCCCAGGTACAGCCTCTTCGGCTGTAGTTTGAGGGGAGAGGGGCCCACTGTTGGGCAACAATTCTGTTTTACTCTACCTGCCAGCCGACATCTGTAAACTTCCTTTTATTATTACAATTTTGACTGTTGTATTTTTTCCATTAGTGCTTTACCTTCCTGACCTACTTTTTTTCGACTCCGGCTTTCAAACTTATTTACGTTATGGTCCAATATACACAATTTATCGTACTCTTAAAATATCTCATGGGGTTTAGGCAGTATCAAATGATCAAATGGTGGATCTAGGTTAAAGAAGATGAGGAGCATCTTCACCAATCAAATATAATGCAGTTTTCAGCAAGACCGATGCAAAAAACATGCTGAATTGTGCCTATATATTGAATCTTTGTTTCATGGCTCAATGTTCATTTATATGGCAATCCTCCTCTCAATGAAGCAACGGACTTCTTTTTTTCTGGGGGCTGCGCAAATCGGTTTTAGGTCACAAAAAAAAGGGGAGGACACACAGTTCTATTCAGCACTAAGATATCTATCAACCGCCTATTGCCTTAATGCCTCTTCCAAGTATAAGTAGATCAATAGCTGTTCATGTATATGCATACATACTAGCGTGTTATCACGGCACTAAGGAAAGAAATGTATGGCCTTGGATGATTCTGACCAGCATTTACAGTATTAAACAGTATGATATATGAATGTGATACCTGTTGCCACAAGACATCAAGAACAATGAAATTTTATTAAGGAGCTCCAATCGCCCTGAATGCTTCGTGTGCAAAAAAAATAAAAATCAAAAGACCCTATTGGCTACGTGCGTGTCATGCGCAGACAATTAGTATGCCTCTCTTCGTGGCGATATTTAAATGTTGGTAAATCCATGGCCAACACTTTTTCTTTTTCCCTCTTGTCCACAGCCATTGATCCTAAACTACTCTAGTTCTCTCCTTCCTTTCGCCCCTCCTCCTCCTCATACATACGCATACGCACAAAAGACTAAAAAAAGATCCATACTGACTTTCTCGCGCCAGCAACTTCATGCGACGCCATTATTGATATCGGGATGGACTTATCGTGGGCTAGCCAACCAAAGCAGGTGCTGGGGATGCCACAGAATCGGTTTCGAGCGCGTTTAGGGCACTTTCTTGTTTTAAACATACCAATGTTATTTCATCAGCTAAAAAATTTTGTTGGATCAGTGGATCAATGGATTTTTTTTATTATTCCCACGCGTCATGTTGAACATAGTGGGCCACACTTAATCCTGGTGGACTGGTCCCGGAACCAAACTACATGTTCTACATTGGCTCTCTAAGTTCTTCATAATTAAGAGATTAAAACTATATGTTGGGTACTAATCAATAAAATAACTAATTAATCAGTTAGCATTTGGTTCATAGAAACGCCTTTTAAGTGGCAAAAACGCGGTAATAACAGACCGAGGCTATGCATTGGTTGAGGACACGAAGATTTCTGGCAGTGACAAGGCTCCGATTGTAACGTGTGTCCCGACCCATCGTTTTCATGCTTACTACGGATCCATCAATCTATCATCGGTAAACCTGAGCTCAATACAAGTCACCCAGATTACCGTAAACTATTGCTAGAAATGATCCATCCAGAATCTGAGTCTAGAGGCGATGCTTTTCAGGTCATCCCTGACATTCCTCATTTCTACTGGTAAGTGAGGAGAGGCAGCGGCAAGGGCTCTCAAAGAACATTGTTTTGTTTTTTATTGAGCCCTACTGTACGCCCAGCGCTGAAGGAAAACTCTCATTTTTATTTAACCAATTTGGGCACGAGTATGTGATGGGTCCTTGCGCACAAGATTGAGAACGTACAAACAATCCCTCCTCTTGAAAGGAAGAGCGAGCCTTTCATCCTTAGGCAGGCTATTCCGGAAGATATATCTTATCTGATTCATCTCAGTACTGAAGAGCGAGTCAGCTTTCACATAGAAATTAGTATATATTATGGCCCCGAATATTAGGATTATACCGTTCGCGATATCCATGAAGGTACTGACGTCAAAAAGCCAAGTACTTGCGGTACTCGAATCATTCTGGATACATTCACAAGCAGAAACGTTGACGACACAGTTACTTCAACCCATTTTGGCCCAGACTCGAGATTTTTGTCTTGAGGGATGAAGTGGATCTTCATAGTTCTTTATATCCTATTCTGAGGCGACTAACCACCATCCAAATGAAGCGCCTCAAGGCCGCGAAGAGTAGCCTCATTGCTGCTGCCAAAGAAGAAGCCGAAAAGATTGACCCAGAAACATTTTCCCTGGCTCTTCAGCTTCATTCAAAGCATCCTGTTATCGCTATCTTGGGGTCCAGGGTCGCAATCGCCGACCATGATCCAGGATTCAGGCACTATGTACGCATCAATAGCGATCCCGAGTTCATTCATGTCGTCACACCAGAGCTCGAGAAGCGCTTAGCCAAGTCTGCGATCCTCAAGGTCACAGGGGGGCTACACCTGGGTTTTCATCGAGGGTTATTGGCAACGAGGGCAAAGGTGTCGAGATCGTCTTGGAGAAAGGCAAGCATGGATATTAATGACTGGGCGACCCTAAGATATGAAAAGAGCGCGTAGGAATATCGTAGCTGGCAGGCTATGGGAAATGTTCCTGAAATCTACGCCGTCTCGCTCGCACCCTTAGCATTCAACAACTTGCTCCTTGGCGAGTCATCACATTGATACTTTTTATTGGTAAATAATTGAGATAAAATAACAGCCATCATAATATAATAATTGAATAAATAAAGTAAGATAGATTAGAATAAGAAGTTGTTTAATTTTATAAAAAAAACAAGCTGTGTACATGTGTGCTTTTCTGTTTATGTTAAAATAACTAGATGCTAAGATGATTGATTAGGTTGGGTGTCGGAGTCGGGAATTTACTATTTACAACTAACTATCCTGGCATTCTGGCATCCTGGTATCTTTTTTTTTTTTTTTTTTTGAGTTCATTAAAAACTATTCGTTGGAAACGGGTTCATTATCACAGTAATTGTGAGTCGGTAGACATTACTATAGGAGAGGCATGATATGCCTGCTGGGTATTTTGGATCTTTAATAGGAGAGATTCGTGGATCGTCGCCACTCGCTGACTGCTTCACGCAAACGTGTTCTCTTCTCATCAAGCCCTGAATAGATCGGTGTCGGCAGAGGGTTTGTACGCTGGTAGATCGCAGCCATGGCCATACTTGGGGGTGGTGTCGTGGGTGGTGTCTTTGTAGTGCCACTACCAATAGAGGGCGGAAATGGATATACTTGGCTTGTCGAGAACAAAGGTGATGTTGGAGATGGGGATGAAGCCTGGGAGGAGTTATTAGACCAGCCAGATATCGAAGGGGTTGAATGCATGCTACTTAAGGTCGTGCTGGAAGGGTACGACGAATTCATGACCATATTAGACTGCTGAGACTCTGCTTTAGGGTCTATTGTCGACTGGGATTTCCTGCGCAAGACAGAGTTCAAGAAAAAATCATCATCACAGTCCTCATCAATGATGTAGGGAGACAATGGAGGTTTTTCCTGTGCCGAGTCAATGGTGGCCATAATAGTGTGGTCTTTCTCTCTGTCATCGCCTTTATTATCGCCATCCCTATCGTCTCTAGCATCCTTAGTATTCTCCTGTTCGTATTTAGTTTCGATTGCATACGTGCTCTGAACCCTGGGCCCACTCCCACGGCTTTCCTCATCTGTAGTGGACTCGATTGAGGTCATTGAAGAGTCTGAGGGTCTGGATGCATATGAATAATCGGATTGCTTTGAAACATCTGAGGACCAAGACGAACGACGCCCCAAAGACATGCAAGGGGAGACGGCTCCAGCACGAAGACATTCAAGAAATGTTGATTTCGGAGACGTCTTGGTCAGGTCATCCTCCTCAGCCATAGTCTCAAGGGGTAGCGATTCTTGTGAACCTTTGAATACGGTAGAATATATTATGGCATCATTGTGCCCATGAAGAACAGGGGATTCTTCAGTGGTTGCCATGCTACTGGATTGGCTCGAAGTCTGCAGATGTGGTGAGACAGTGGGTGAGGATGAAGAAGTATGCAAGAACTTGGGGACAAACTTGCCCAGTAACCTTGAAGATCGCCTCGAACGTTTGGAATTACTAGATAAAACAGAGAGATGCGGTGATGGCGGTGACATTGGGTCCTTGGGTGATAATGATGCCTCTGTGATGCTATTCTTGCGCATACCCATCTTATGCAGGAGGTATGAGCCCTTGCCTTCTTTCTTCTCCTGCTCTACCCCTGTCGATTTAGCGGAAGAAGAGGAGAGCGTCTGTGCAGGCGGTTCGACCGCCATCTTTGTTTTAGAGCCAGGTAATACGTCATCTTCCTGAAGAGAGGCTGTCTCTGAAGAGCCATCAATTACATCTTCATCTTTCACTGTCGCCTCAGAGACGTGGGCGTCGGCCACATCCTAGAGAAAATGGAAGGTTCAGATATAAAAAAGGAAAAGTTTAATTTCATCCACTAAAAATCAGATCAGAAGAAATCGACATCTTTCGACCATTTTTTTAATGTCCCCTCCCTACCTTGACAGAGGTTGGGGGAGTGATCTGGTGCTCAACAGTATGCACAAGAGAGCCGCTCTTCAAAGGCCGCTCGCTATCATTAACAGCAACTATACCGGCTATTGATGTGCGTTCAGCCTCGCATATGGCCTGATTATTCTCCTGCTCAGAAGAACATGCCACCGACGATATCGATGTCATAGTAACCGTCGGAATAATCGAAGGTGCGTCTAATTTGTCAGCGCTGTTCCCCATGGGGTTGAGCGCCCATGACGATTCCTGCTCTGAGCTTTGTCGAAGAGCAGCCAAGACACCATAAACGAGACTGCCTCCATTCTCGCTAAGATGTTTGCGACGGAGGTCCTTGGTTGAGAAGGGATTAAGTGCGCCTTTCTCTTCACCTTCTGCGTATTGAGCTGAACCTCGGATCTGCTGAGTATTCTCCAAAATGAGGGATCTTGGACGCGATGTTAAGGGTGATGGGAGAAGTGACGATTGGGTGGTTGCACAGGTAAAAGAATGTGTTGGGGAAGAGTTGAGGGGTGTGTTGCTATCGCTATTAGCTATAATGTGGTTACACTTGGGACTCTCATTCTGCAAAGGATTCTGGTACAGAATTGACTTGTTTTCCAGAGAGGATGAGATAATTGTGGGAGTTATGGAAATATCTGCAGTAGTTGAACATAGATTATCATGGGGGGAAGAAGATGAAAGTTGCGATAATGACAGTGGGGATGTGGAAGAAGAAAGTGAAGAAGGGGTTGTTGAAGAAGAGCGACGAGGTACGGAAACGAGAGATGATCGTCTGGAAGGATTCCAGAGGACACTATTCAATGAACTTCGTTGACTAGATGGAGTAGAATATGTGTTAAAGCGATAGGACTCGCCTTCGGCGAAGGACAGAGGTGGACAAGACTTTACGTATGCATTGCTCGAGAGTCGTCGTGCACGATTGAGCAAAGCTTCGGCAGTCTGCGAAGTATTAGAAGAGTGTAGTAGTGTAGTCATGGTTGCAATGTCTATGTTGTTGACGAATTTGAAAAGATAAAAAAAGGGGGGGATAAGGTTGTCTTGGTGCTACAAATACAATTATACTTGTAGTATTTTTGAGGTGTATAGTGAAAGTGAATGAGAAAAGAATGAGTGCAATGAAGACAAAAGAATGCACATGGAGGACAGAAAGTGAAAAGAGAGAAAGAGAGAAGGAAAGGGAAGATATCAATGAATGAGGACAGAAAGAAGAGGAAGAAGAAGAAGAGGAGGAAGAAGAAGAAGGGAAGGGGAAGGGGAAGGGGAAGGGGAAGGGGAAGGGGAAAGGAAAAAGGGTCAGCGAAAAAGAATGTGTAACAGCCCCGCGGACATATTGAAATAACAGAGATGGATGGGAAACGAAAAAGCGATGCCCAAACAAAAGGGCTGTCCCCCCCATCCAACTCATTCATCAATCAGGACTAAAGATACATATATATATATATATATATATATATATTAGCATTAATGCTATACCATTATGCATCATGTATTGTTCCCCTAGAAGAATACAAGAAAATATACAATCACCAATCCATCAATACCAATTGATGCCAGCTACAAAGAAGCACCATCCATCTACATTCCATGTATACATCAATATATATACCTTAAAAAGATATCATTCAGAAAGTACACATTTTTCATATATTCTTCATCGTTATTGCTCCACCACATCAACAGTACCAGGAAACAGGTATAACTTTTTATTTTATTTTATTTTTTTTGGTCTGAATAGCCTATGTGTTACTACTGCCTTTCACCTCGTCGCGTTCTATTCACAACGGTTGTTTGAATAGGGTCCCTCCTCGACAATTCGACAACTATCCAATATCTCCTCCCCTTTTTTTCCCTGTCAATTTTGTTCTCTACATCAACCGATTTTTGGTTTTTTGTTCGATCCACTTTGAAAGATTTATTTTTCCTGTCATGCAGGCTGTTTTCTGCTTCATTTTAACAAAAGAAACATAACAATGCATAGCCAAGCAGGAAAAAAAAAAAAAAAAAAAAAAAAGACACATGGCACACTTGTTACATTTTCATTGCATGGGTTACGGTATCTATCATGGAGTGTCTCTTGGGCCTAGAAAAAACAGTGAATGTAATCTCCGCTACAGCGGCTAAACTAAAAAAACGCAGGTTGATAGGCGGAAAACAAGCAAACTGGGAACAAGTTGGTTGGCAGAAATACGATCTGCGCGATGTGTTTGCACACAAAAAGATGACAAGCGCAATTAGGTCAACTCTGCGCTGCCCTATTTTGAATCCCTGTGCTTCCTTTCCCCTTTTTACACACATCTTCAGACTCGAGGGAGGGAAAGAATGCGGTATGTACTACCGTCTCGCATGAGTCGATTTTTGTCTACAAGTAGACAAGGCGCATTGTCACCGAAACTACGACAGACAATGTTCTATTATAAAAAAAAAAATCCAAAAAATAAAGAGCGATTCATTCCAGAACATCGTCGTCCAAGAATAGAATGATCACAACAGTGGATATAAAAAAATCAACATTAACTAAAAACAACGGCTTTGCATGATATGTGTAACTTTGCTCCATCCAAACAACCCAATCCCTCTTACTGATCACGCACATGCATACACTGGAAGCACGCGAGTACAATACAGCGCTGCAACCAATTGTCTTATTCCTGTCTATTTTTCCTCCCTACAACATCCACAGCAGATTTTTTTTTTTTTCTGATTAAGAAGGAACAGACTCTTTATGTCTTATTTGTTTAGAGTTCTTGCTGCTGTAAGAATTGCGGTTTGTCATTCAATTTTTTTTTTATTCATATATCTTATTTAATCATTACCTTGCCACGAAAAAACCATGCGGATCTCATGCTATTTTAGCTTTTGTTTATATAGTACTTTTGGATGACCCGTATACATTCACCTTGCCTTTTTTTTTTCTCGTCATTAATGAACCCAAGGCTTTTTACATTGCTTGGCAACAGGATAAAAAAAATGTATAGGACAGTCAAACTGCAAAAAATAGATTGCAGAATGTAAAGAAGGTGCAGCAAGATGACCAACACTCCTCCCTAAAAAAAAAATCCCCTTTGGATAAGTGCTCACCTCCTTCTAGCTGCATCATTGTAATTTTCGACAATAATCGCCTGAATCCTTCCTCGGATATAACGTCATGTCCATGAACTCTAAAAAAAAAAAAAAAAAAAAAAATCGACTTTTCAGCTACCAAAAGAAAAAAACGCGTCCGAGTTGTTGAACCAATTCCTGGTTTAAAAAAAATAGATATGAATATAATATTACCAATAATAATAATAATGACAAAGTTCGTTATTCTCTCATAAATGTATTCATGTTGGACATGTAAGACGTCGCAAAATTAAAAAAAAAAAAAAAAAAAAAAAAAAGACCAGTTGCCACCAACTCTTTGCCCTCTTTATGTGCCTATATATTTGGAATACTTTGTCATCGTCACTCAACAATGTTTATGTGTATACAAATGACGGAGCAGAGGGCGCGGAAAAAGAATCCCACTTCTCTCCTTTCCCTTTTCCTGTACAATGAAAATAAACAACAGCATCAGGGGAAGAAGGATGGACGAGATTATGTCAAGCGTACACATATACTTGCATGAATCCACTAAACAAGTCGGCGCAGCCCTTTTCTTTTTTAGGAGGGCAAGGTGGGACGAATTTCAAGGGAGCAAAATTCTCTCTTCATAGTACAGCCAGCTTGCTTAAACAATGCATTACGTGGTATTCATGCACTGTGGTCTTTGGAACTTTCCTCTTTTTTTTTTTTTTTTTTGTACGACGTCCATATATATATACATGTATATTTATATTTCTGTATAGAAAATAATGTTAAGATAGTGCTCATCTTTTTATCTGGCGCAATTCATCCCCTATTACACACTGATCTGATTTTACTGAATGGTCTAATAAAAAATGACCCACTTTCTCTAGACTTTAGATTGCTCGAATACGCATATCCTCAATCTTCTTTTGAATTTCAGCCGGTGTCCTATCCAGCTCTTCTGCAATCATCCTCTTCTTGTCACCTGATAGCAAGTTGTATTGCTCGCAAATATCGCCATCCACAGTTCCCTATTTAAATTTATGTCAGTCTTAGTCGCTAAAATCAAGTAATTCATTGTAAACAGCATTTTTTTTTTCCTCTTCGTTTATTTACCTTCACAGGAACATGATATCCACGGTAACTCAAGTGATCACGGCCCGCCAAAGGAGGCATCTCATTCCGCATATGCATCTCCAGTGTCTGGAAAAAATCGATATCCTCCTTGGTCTGGAACGGGATAAATATACCAATTCCACCCAGGAACGATGTATACAAAATCATTTCGCGCCCTCCTGCCACAAAGCTTGTCTTAGCCAATGACGTTAAAATGTCACCTACATGGTAATGTGCCAACATGTCCACCTTGTGTGCGGCTCCATGGAGATAACCCTTTCCCACAGATTTGGAACCTGCCTCGTCCTCATCAATCTCTTGACTGAGCTTCTGCGGCAATCGATTGACAAAGAAGTTACCAAACTTGTCTCCTGCAGCCACAGTGTCGTAATCAATCATTGCAGAGCACGTAACCCATCTCGGTGACTTGTCATCTGCGAAAGTAACGATCTTGTTGTCTGCAGGAATGTATGATGCATAGTGAAGTGATTCTTGCACATCTCCTATAATGATGCGCCCTCCTTGATTGTGCAACGTCACGATCGCATTTGGAATCATGCGGTTTTCAGTCTTCCTGAGAAGTTTACGCTTGCCAAGATCGTATACGCGTAAAATCTTGCCGACACCTGCCAAGAGACGACCCTGGAAATGAAGGAGTGCTTGTGGCACTTCCTCTACTGGTGTTTTATGGACCAACTCCAGACCTTTGCCTTCATTTACAAACTTGTAAATATGGATGAAGCCCGATGACAGCGATTTTGGTTGCAAAGTCAAATCTGCTGCTGTGCCGACTGCCAAGAACAACTCGTTTGCTTCGACTGCAAAATTAAGTACCGCTACACTCAATGCAGCTTCATTCTGCTCGAGCTCGAGCGTAAATGTTGTCTCCCCCGTTGCTGGGTTGAGGATCCTGATCAACGATGCCCATTTGCCGGGCAAAGATCTAGCATGTCCAAAGACGACAGGGTCGAGTTCTTCCTCCTCCCGCATAGCGAATCCAAGCTCCTCAAGCCTCTTCTTCTTTTCCAGTGTGGAGTAAGTCTGATGATCGGTTTCAATGACCGCAATTGTTTTGTGTACAGGGTTGACAACAAAGCGGCGTGGCGTGTATGTCAGTTGGATAGCTGTCTCATTAAAGACTTGTCCAAATTTTTCGATAGTAAAAATCTTGAGCTCCTTTCCTGCAATTGCTACAACTCCCTCCAGACACTGCTTGGACGTAAAGCTGGCTGCATACTCCAGTGCTTCGTATGATAATGGGTTCAGATGAATACGCGACTGCAATTGGTAGCTAAGCCATGGTCGGCTTGAGAGTGCTAAAACTGAGGGATTGCCTGCCATGTTCAATTCAAAAAGTCGAACTGCACGTGCGCCTAAGAAACGTGTACGAGTGTCCGAGAGCTGACCTGTCGTCTGATCCAAAACAGTGCGGAGCAAGACTCCGTTCTGCAAACCGATATTCAAGTATAATGTTGTCAATGATCCTTCAGAGATTTGATCCGGCATGTCGATCATAACTAGAGATTCAGGGATGGCTGATAAAGCCTGTAAACTTAGAGGTTCTAGACATGATGAAGCATCTAGGCTGAGAATACGGACCGTATTATCATCGCATCCAACAGCTAAGAAACGAACACGCCTCCTTCCTTTAGGCAAGGGCTGAATGCTAAGGCAAGTGACATTGCCAGACATTTCCCTACGCACATGTGATTCGCTTAAATTTCCGACATCATCGACTTCAAAATAGACAAGCTCACCACCAGTCAATGCGATCACAACTTGTTGCCGATTTGTGGCCGCGCGTACAATCTGTCTGCCTCCTGGAGCCCTCCATTCTGTTACCTGTTTGTTAGCGCGAATATGTCGGATGCCCTGTGGATAGACCTGAAGCAACGCATCTTGGCCAAGCTGCTGGACTGTGATCGTTGGTGTTGTTGCTAAAAAGCCAGTATCAGTAACCTCTTCCACTGTTTCGCCAATAGAAAGTACCAGTGTTGCATTAGAGAAGGAAACAACAATATATTGGTCATATAGATCGTCAGCTGTCAGTCGGGTAGTCCAGACTGCTGTTGGGTTAGCAGGTAGGGGCGACACAGCCATCTCCGTAACCTCTAATCCATGTCTCAATATCCTCATCGTTGAACGTGCACCTCGGCCACATAGCGCGTAAATCTGTGGCGTATCTTCGTCAGTAAGATTCAAAACCTGCATGAGAATCAAATTATCAAAGACGAGAAATTAGCTAGTCGATACGAAATAGTATGCAAAGTAAACCAAAAAGCATATATAGCACGGCTATGTACCTTGGCATCTGTCAAAGGAGCCATACTGGCTAGTTCATCAACTAGAAGCAAATTCTCCAGTGGCCTTGGTTTGAAGTATACTCTGATATTCAGATGTTCGCCGTCAGCTCCCATAAAGTCATTACTGGAATATTCAGGGGTATCATCATCGTCACCCAATTTTTCGAACTGGTAAAAATGACTACACGAATGGAGCGTCAGATTTCTGTAAGTTTTTTTTTGTCTCATAAAAAAAAAAAACAATGAAATGATGTTGATGTCAATCAAGCATCGAGAACTTACTGATTTCCAAATTCGCTGGCGACAAATAAGAATCCGCTCTTCAGAATACAAAGCCCTGAGGCGACCGAAACTGTGTCAAAGTACTTGATTTTAATTTCGTTTACGGTGTCCCCTGTGTAGTCAATCGTGACCTTGTATAAATCACCTTCTTCGCTTTGTAACAATAAGAAGAATGAGTTCTTTTTATTTATTTATTTTTTTTTAAAAAAAAAAAAAAAAAAAAAAAAAAAAGCGTTATTTTTCATGTTTCGAGACCACTCTCTTTGATCTATTTTTGACAATTTCCATGCTGTGACCAAAGTGTACCTTCATTTTATGAACGACTCCTGATACGATCAATAGTCCTCTGTCCTTGTTCTCCAATGGGCTCTCCCGTCTTGGTATAGGTACTGAGAGAGTAGCGGAGGCGATATGCTTATAAGTAATATAATTTTCTGAACACACTAAAACTCCTGACGGCCCATCAGTGCCACCGGGTACTATAAGAAAATCATTTACAGTTTACGGAAGGAAGTACATTGCTCAGACTTTCGATCTTTCAATTCACGTCACCCCCAAAGAACTCTCATAACATCTTTAAATATATCCTTCATACCTGCTACTAGCATATTTGCTTTGCGATCGACTGCTTCGCTCCATTTTCTAACAACATGATTCAGACCAAGATCTAATTCGTAGTATGTCAACATCTAAAGCATGTGGGTAATCGAAAAATAAATTAGTTTACGTAAAATACTAACGACCAGCATATTTCTAAAGCGCCCTGACAATGTTCCTCCATTGTACCTTTTCAGTTTCCCTGAGAGCCTCCCCCTTAGGATCCTGATCAGCCTCTGAATAGTCAACTTCCAGGCACGCAAATATAGGGTTTTCGAACCCAACATCGACTCCTGTGCAATAATGTACAATTGTATGGGACTTATGCGCTTCCAAAGGCGATCCAATCGTTAACCTAGCCGCGATATCTCTGTTCAAAATATACACGAGTTTCTGTTTTTCCATCGAACCTATAAAAGGAATAAAATAAATTAACTTTCAGGGCTAAAACATACCTTTCTTACTTATTAGATTGAAATGGATGATTTTCAGCTCCTGATTTCATACTACCCTTGGCTGGTCTCCATTACTGGTTATACTTGCTTACCAATCATGACGGCACGACCCTTCGGATCTGTGGCAAGGTACTGTCCTGGCACAATTCTTCGACATCCAGACTTGCCAAATGTCTCCTGATGTACCTTTTCAAACACATTCTTGGCCGGGTTATATTCCAAAATAACGATCCTTCCTGAATCTGATCCAATGACAATGTAGTCTGATACGGTCCAAGTATGCAGTCGAGGTAATAATAAACAAAATGTTTTTTTTTTTTTTTTTTTTTTTTTTTTTTTAGTTAAAGCGCGCCAAACATAAAAAAGACACCTATCGTTATTACTATTAGCTTTCAAAGTACCTTTAGATGCTCCAGTCAGGCGAAATGAAGCTAGGGATCGGACAACACCAAATACATCGTGAGAGAGAATAGAATGGACCTTTCCAGTAGTTGTGTCTGGCCTAAGCAACTCGATCCTTGAGACATGAGAGACAATAAGCTCCTGCTGACGAGTCCCTGAGAAGTTACCAAGGATCGCCTGGTTAATGGCATTGGGGGCCTGCAGGGTCAAGTTATACAGAAACATGGCTCAGGTTCCGTCAGTCGTTTTTATAATTGTCCCGCTTGAAGAAAATGAAAATTAGCAAGAATGGAGGCCAGAGGATGTGGAAATGAGTAATTGCTTTTTTTCTTTTTTTTTTTTATTTGTGGCTGAAAATACGTCATTCGGGCAAGAGGGAACAGCACAATCTTGGCCCAAAAACAAAGGGGTTGGTTGATTTCTTTTTACAGCCAGTTTGTTCAGGCGCTTGCACACTGATTTTGTTCTAGTTTACGAACCATATTCTGTAGATCTGCAACAGCTTGCCTTTCCCTATGTGGAAGTCGCGTTATACTTACATCAATCGCAAAGGAGCCCATTCTCCTCCATACGTCCATCATCTCGTTATTATTCTATCTAGACAATTCAGCGGCAGCTTCCTCTCGCTCTATTCTTTTTTCTTTCCTTCTCTTCAGCTCTCTCTTAGTTGTCGTAGCAGAAATGATGAGAGAAAGCCTTCGAGAGACCGTCCAAGATGATCATTGATATCGGCCGTGTTTCGGGCCTACTCGAGTTGGGTACATGCAGGTGCAGTATTGCGTGCGTTTGACAGTGAATCCATCGCGGACCCTTCCTGCAACCTACATGTGCTTGCAAGGGATCCTTGTTTTTCATGATCAGAGACAACGTCGTCTGAAGTCATCTAATATACCAACAGCGACCCTCTACCCTCAGCCAACAGACAAGGATGGAGCATATCCATGGATAAAAGACAGTTGTCCATTGCGCACCAAACGTCAAGCACCATTGGAGGCTGAGGAGGAATCAAGGAACTACAGAAAATCCATATAAATTAGTGTAGTCTAGAAAATATGCGTGTAAGCAAACCTTAGACTAGTTTTCACAGTCACGTCTGATGTATTTTGAGAAAGTTTGTGCTGTATTCGACCAATAATACCCTGTTCTCGCGCCTTTTTCTATGATTTTGTTCATCAGCATATTAAAACATCATTTGGTTGACTCATAGTAAACATCATGGCGAATTCCAGTAACAGCTCTCGTGCCAACTCACCGAGCGCTACGAGCGAAAAAACGCGTTGTACCATTTTTCGGAAGGAGTATGAATACAGTACGTACATTTCTCATCATAAAAGAAACAAAAAAAAACACTATGAAGTTTTTGTATGAAGTTTTGATTTTTACATACACTCATCACAGTTTTTTTTTTTTTTTTTTTTTTATAAAAAAACACCAGACAGGGCCAAGAATGTTTTCTCAAAGCCAATCATCAAGCCAGCTCTGTCTGACACTCGGCCGGTGAATGTCCTCAAACTCCTGATCCAACAGCGTGAGCTGGAGAAAGAAGCTGCTCTCAAAGCCGAGATCGTCAGTAGCAAAGACGCTTCCGATAACGAGGATGCTGAAGACAACAAAGAAAACATGTGAGCAAATTATGAAACGGTTGTTTAATTTAATTATACTACGGTAACATCTTTAATTAAACACGTCTTTCTCGTATACATTAACGAATGATGAATAGTGATAATATTCAAAAGGTTCGAAAGGAACGTGTCTTTGAGCAGGATGTTACTGAGAAGGAGATGGATATCATTCAACAGCGTATTGCGTTTCAACAGCGTCAGGTAAGGAGATGGTAGAGATAGCATTCGGTAACTCTGGCCTTGTCATATTTTGGTTGTTTCCATAACCCATTCTTATATCTGGCGTGTCCCATCCTTTTTTAGTTCGCTGCCTTTGAAGAGAGAGAGAAGCAGCGACGCTATAAGAAGTTCAAGCAGCATTACGGGTACTTGGTTGAGGCAGAAATTGATGAAGCCTACGAGGACTGCAACAATGATGAAGACGATGCCTTTGTTCAATTCAGCACTCGTGGCTATCTAGAGAAGATCCGCCGTACAATCGCCATCCGCAACCACAGGCCTGCAACAATCACTGTCATGGATGATCAGCAACGCGCTCGTTATGAAGAGCATCTGAAGAAGCGCCGCGAGGCACCTCGTATGCGTACTACAACTGCACAAAAAAAGTAAGGCTTTTGCTTTTTCTTTATTTTTTACCATCAAAGTTAGGCTCCATCCTGAGTCGAAAAAGTGTCAAGCCACACGAATTCACAAATTTCAGTTTTTCCTTTTTTAGAAGTCAGCATCGTTCTTTTTCTTCGAGGGCTGGTACCAAACTTGTGAATTTTGGCTGGCATCTTTAAAAAGGAAGGTTGTTAAGGGTTTTACATATAAAAATTTCTCCTCCATCTCATGTAAATTTATATGTAAAACCCTTAACAACCTTCCTTTTTAAAGATGCCAGCCAAAATTCACAAGTTTGGTACCAGCCCTCGAAGAAAAAGAACGATGCTGACTTCTAAAAAAGGAAAAACTGAAATTTGTGAATTTGTGTGGCTTGACAGTTTTTCACTTTTTCGATTCATGATGGAGTCGAGCCTACCAACTTAGAATATATTTTTCTCACGAAAATACTTCTATTTATAGGCAATATCGCATGGGTGGCCGCTTGGGCTTAGATGAAGCACTTAAGCAGGTGCAAGAAAACACAGTCGATGCTTCCAAGGCCTTTGAGGGTTGGTCTGATGCTCGCATCAAAGCTTATGCAGCTATTGACAAGAAGCCTAATACCTATTATTATCGGTTCAACGCACCTGGAGAAGTCCAACGCAAGGGTGCATGGACCAAAGAAGAGCAGAAGAGGTTCCATGAACGATTGGCTGAGATTGGTGCCAATGGGCAATGGGGGATTTTCTCAATGACCATCCCAGGACGCGTTGGTTACCAGGTTTGTCTTTTTTTTTCTTTTTTTTGCCTTATATATCCTGGTATAGAAGCATTGACTGATACCATATTTTTTTATCACGATGTACATTTTTGACTTGGCCAAAGTGTTCCAATTACTATCGCTTGCTTGTGGAGACAAATCAAATCCAGGACCCCAACTATGTATTAGATGAGAAGGGGAAAGCCCACTATCTTTTTGATAAAAAGGGTGCAAATGGAGAGACGACTAAGGAGTTTAGGACACACAATAAGCACAACATTGGAGGAAGCGAAGAAAAACCGACTGTCTTGAAGCCACCAAAAGAGCCCAAAGCTTCCAAAGCTCCCAAAGAATCTAAACCACCAAAAGAACCTAAAGCTCCCAAGGCTCCCAAGGTCCCACGGGAGCCCAAAACTTCTGCCGCTGCTAGTCGAAACAAGCGTAAGAGACGCAGTCTCTATAATGATGATGACTCCTCTGATATCTCTGAGTTTGATTGCGATGATTCGGGATCCTACATGGCAAAGTGGAGCACAACGAAGCGAACACGTACTCGTGCAGCTAACGCCGCGAATGGTTCACCTTCTGGAGCTGGAGGAAGTGATGGCGGCCAGGAAGAGGAAATTGAAGGTGAAGAAGATGAGGATGCTTTGAACCCCCTTCCTAAATTCATTGACCCAATTACACTGGAGGTAGTGGAAAAGCCAGCCATTTCCAAGTATGGACATGTCATGGGCTATGATAGTTGGATTCGTTGTCTTTTACAAGACGGTGCCGCCAAAAATATTTGCCCGTTGACCAAGAAACCTCTAACGAAGCGCGATCTGACCATTTTAACTTTCGAGAACATCGAGGAATACAGGTAATAGTAACAAGAAAGATAGACTCTCGCGAGAAATTTACTGGCTGTGAGCATGCTAATAATTAATCGTCCATCATTTTCGTTATATTAAATTAAAAACAGGGACAAGATCGTCAATATGTAAACATGTACTTGTTGTAAGGCGAGCTGTAAAAAAAGAATCAATTCTGGATGACTGAATAAATTTCGAGCGACTCGTTGGCTTCAATACTGGATGAAATTGCTTCGCTCCTTAGTGAATTATAGCCAAAGATAGATGGAGCGTATGTCGTGAAACAATGAATAAACTTGAAGAGTATCCATTAAAATCATCTGAATCATTTCCATGTTGAATCATCTGTCCTCTCTCAAATGTACTCCGGTCCGTTATGTCCTTAGTGCTCCTTGAACAATAAGATTATATATATGATTCCATGGAATCATGAAATGTGATCAATACATGACACTGATGGGTGAGTAGCAATAGGTGTCAAAATCAAAATAAAAATAAAGATTGGTAAGAGATAGGCTATGCCTTGTAGTTTTATTGAGAGTGATGGTGAAATGACATTATTTAGTCGAAAAGACCTAATGAAACGAGGAGAAAAGAATAAAGTTAGCTTAGAATCAAGCAACTCCAAAAGGTTGAGAGTATTTACTTAACAACTATGCGGACGCTTACCGAATCCCATATCGTCATCAGACTCTTCCTTGGGCTCCTCTTTCTTTTCCTCCTTCTTCTCCTCAGCAGCAGCAGCGCCACCGGCAGGGGCGGCACCACCAGCAGCAGGGGCGGCACCAGCAGCACCAACATTGGACAGCATGGCAGCGACGTCCTTACCCTCGAGAGCCTTGGCAAATAGTGAGGTCCAGATAGAGTCAACCTGGACGTTTGCAGCCTTCAAGATGGTCTGCAGCTTGTCGGACTATAAGATTGGGAAAACAACGTGAACTCGGTCAGCAGCTGATTCCAATTTTGTTTGAGATTTAGCGGTAATTAGCTGGTGATTTGGTTGGCGATGTGGTCTTGTTTTCTCCAGGCTCCCAATATCCTCATCTCCAGAGGTGAAATTGAATCAAATCGAGAGTTGACTTTGATCCTTAACTGCTAGCTAATACATGAATTTGCTCAGCATCGTTGGTCAACTGCAGTGTGTATAGTCACGTCAGTCTAAAAAGAAATCCCTATGTGGCAGTACGTGCTCTAGAAGGTTCAATCTAGACTGAAGCCGTTAGCAGTGTAGTTGATTTGAGTATGGACAATGCCGATGAGTTACGTGCTGGTGATGGCGGATCCAATTGTATCCAGTATTGTTGATCTAATAGATATACGTTGGTCAGCTTAAATCGGTCGCTTAAACGTTCAGTTACCGAAGAGCGTAGCCTATTCTTGCGCAGAACATATTGTATCCATCCGAATCTGTCATTGAAGAGCCTACACATCCATCCTTAAGAATGGGTAATATCGATGTATCGATGTCGCCATGTTATTTATTCATTGGCTTCTTTTGTTGAACTGTATGATAGCATGGTCCGATACTTAACGGTGATCTCAACATTGTCGTCAGAGAGGATCAATGCGGCATAGGAGGTAGCAAGCTCTTCCATGGTTGATAAATTCAAGAAATGTGAAAGAGGGAACTATTGGATGGCACAGTCAGTTTCAGAAATACCCTCACATATACCTGATACCTGTTACCCCTTAAATAGGCGCTCCATAAGTGCAAACACTTCCTCTTCGAATCATTCTTCCTTTCTTCCCTTCATCAATAGACAATATCACAAATATCACGACTTAAAAGCCATGGCCCTCCTCACACGCGTTTTGAAGAGTATGGAGCGCATTGCTCCTCAGAGTCTTGCTGAACATGCATGGGACAATGTTGGCTTACTTGTTGGTAATTGTAATTTCAGACTTCCTCGCTTGGTTGATCTTTTTTTCTTGTGACTTATTTTCTACTGGCAAACATACAGAGGCCCCATATCCAAGGACTAAGAGCGCCTCAGTCGCTTCCCAGCGCGTCTTCTTGACCATTGACTTCACTTCTGCCGTGGTGGATGAGGCACTCAATGATCCATCTGTTGGAGTTATCATCGCCTACCGTAAGTATTGAGAAGTAATGTAGCTAAACAAACATATATATGTACGGCTCCAATTGTGATCTACTAGAGCTAAAAGATTTCTGGAGGTGATAACCAACGAGATCACCTAGATAGAGCTAAAATTCTTTTTGAAAATTCTTGTATTAGATCCTCCTATTTTCCGTGGCTTCAAGAGATTACAGCTTAAAGACACAAAACAGAGAATGGTCCTCCAATGTGCGGCCAAAGGCGTTAGTGTCTACTCTCCTCATACCTCCTGTGACGCTTGTGAAGATGGAGGTAATGGTGCTTAAAGCACCCCATTCAACTAATCACTACTGCCTGGGCTTATTTCACACTTTTAATTATGATACAAAATCTTCATACATATTCTTACTTTGCTGTATTTAGTAAACGACTGGCTGCTTAAAGGATTCGGAAATGCTGGCTCTAGCAAGGTTATCGTTCCAGCCGAGAATCCACCTGAAGGTGAGATTAATTTGAGATAAGCAAAATAACCAGGCAATGATTTAAATGTGGAAATGAACATACAATGATGATTCCTTATTTTTTTAACTGGTGACATCTTGTTTAATAGGTCATGAGAAGTCTGGAAAGGGTAGAATCTTTACTTTTGACAACCCTCAACCTGTGCAACAAGTCATCGATCAAATCAAGAATCACTTACGCATGAAGCATGGTAAAAAGCTAGTCTTTTTTTTTTTTTTTTTTTTTTTTTATCCTTGGTTTTCCTTGAATTAATATTTTTTAATTATCTACTCAGTTCGTGCTGCAATTCATCCAACACACGCCAACAACGAGAGGCTTATCTCGACTGTTGGTGTATGGGCTGGTTCCGGGTCAGAGATGGTGAATCACAAGGCGGATTTATTCCTGACTGGCGAATTGGGTCATCATGATGTCCTTGAGGCCTTGGAGCAAAACAGCACGGTTATTCTGTGTGAACACTCCAATACTGAGCGTGGATACCTCCATGATTCCTTAAAACCCAAGCTGGAGGAACTGTTGGCTAAAGATGGCGGTGAAGCTGTAGAAGTCATTGTTAGTACTACAGACAAGGATCCACTCGTGATTGTTTAAGACCAAAAAAATGAAAGATTAAATTGATGATAGGCGAGAAAAAAGTTTAGAACAATGGGTTTATTGAGATATTGCTTTAAATATGATTCACTGGCTAACTGATACTAGAACCACCCACAGGATGTCGTAGAGCATCTACTAGTGATCTCTGGAAACTAGTAGGTAATAATGAAAAATGAAGAATTGGGCAAGAGCCTCGTGGTTTTGGGATACGATAGTGATCCTAAGTAATGCTTTGAATGATTTTGAGGATGCTGCAAAAGGGCATCGATAATAAGAAGAGAGATCTTTAATAACTGCTAATTTTCTGAGAATTCATAATGAGAATAATGAAGATAAACTCACCTGCAAAAGGGCATCGATAATAAGAAGAGAGATGCCGTTTTTGCAGTGAAGGAAAAAGCTACTTAAATACTATTTAAAAATGGTAGAAAATAGGATGATAGGAAATAAATAAATTGAAAGGAAATACATATTTAGGTAAATGAATAGGCGTCATTTACGACAAGGATCAATAGATAAATGGGTCGCCTATTTCTGATGTTACAAAAATACCTGTGTTCAACAATCGGCCGCAGCCGCATAGCCGTCCTGCCACAATGCAACACTCATTTCAGCGTGTGAACTTTTCTCAGTTCATTTTTTTAAGGTTTCAGTCATCTTTTTTTTGCTTTATTTCTGTCTCAGTGCAAATGTACTAGCTACGGCGACACATTTTACGCGCTGTCCGACAGAACTCCCGGAAATTGCCACCAGACTCAAAGTGCCGCAGAGTCCGATGGATCTCCTCCATGCACTTCTCATACCCACGGAGAAGCTCAAGGAAGTGGTTCCTGCTTTCCACGGAGATCTCCCTGCCATGGAGGATCCGACGGGTCCTCGTCGCGTACCGGTGGAGGTCCGCAAGCTCCATCGCCAGTACGGAATGGAGCTCGCGCACCTCCTCTGAGTCAAGAGACTCATCAAGCGACTCCGAGGATCGCTTGCGGGACAGGGGTGGTTTACCCCTATCTGACGAGGCAGCGGGGGGAAAGAAACGTTGACTTGCGGGCACCTCAGGACTTGGGGACAGCAAAATAAAGGTCTCATCAGCACCGCTGGTGGAGATCTCATCAGGGATCTCCAGCGCAGAGAGGTTGGATGCATCCGTATGCCACAGAGGCAAAGTCTCTTCACTCCCCACCTGCGCTAGAGGAGGCGAGGAGTGTCTGGTGGCAGTACCAGAAAACGAGGAATCAAAAGACCCAACAACAGGCAGGGAAGACTCCGCACCGGCACCGGTCGTGTCAGAGCTAACTGACTCAGGAGAAGGCTCCCTGGACTTGACAGAGACACCTTCGAAGCTAACACTACGACGAAGAGAGGCAGACATGGTTGTTGTTATAGTTGTGGTGGAGGTGGAGGAAGGTGCAGACAGGAAACTTGGAAGCGAAAAGGCAAAGGTTGCAATGAGTTGAGGAATGAGGAATGGAGCAGAGATGGAGCTGCAATTTATATGTTTTTCCTTCTCATGCTGCCATCGCCATTCACACGCTCGTCTCTGACATTCTTCCAGCTGATTAGATGGTGTGCTCATGCATCATTCTGATTGGTCCAGGTGCAGGCTTGGCAAACATTGCCTATAAAAAGATTTCAGGAAAATATGGAACATGTGAGAGATGGGGATGGAGATGAGGTGAGATGAGATAAGATGAGGAGGAAATGAGGACATGATGGAAATGATGGTGATGAGCGGAGGAAGATGTCATTTTCAAGTTGATCTTTTTTTCTTTTTTCCTTTTTTTCTTTCCTGTCTCTTTTGGTGGCGTCTTGTCTTTCCCTTTTCCTTATTTGCTTCGCCTTTTTTTATATTTTATTTTATTTTATTTTATTTTATTTTATTTTATTTTATTTTATTTTATTTTATTTTATTTTTTTTTGATAACAAAGACCCTCAGGGTCTTTTTTTTTTTTTTTTTTTTTGATAACAAGGACCCACGAGGTCATGTAGGATTTATTTAGATGTTAGCTCTATAAATGGGTTTGGTTCGGTCGGTGGCCTTCCACAATATTTCTACGATAGTCATTTTTCTGCTCATGCACATGGCGCTTTTTTTTTCGTAGTATAGAACAGTGCTCCTATTCGAACTGAAATTTTGTCAATTATGATGTTTTTTCTTTTTCTTTTTTTTTTTTTTCCTGTTAACAAGAACCCACAGAGGTGAGGAATTTTATTTCATAATCTCGCTCTAAAGTAATGATATCGCCCTCAACTATGAAACAAGCGAAACTCTCAAAGTTCGCACGGGATGGCTGTGAAGAGCCAATTCGTATCCATGTTTTTCTCTACCAATGTACACCGTGATCGGTACTCGAAGTCCATCCTTCCGATGTGGCCTGTTGCGCCCGTGAAAAGCCGCGGAGGCTGGCGTGCCGACTCTAGCTAAGGACGACTTTTTAATTTTTTCTATTCGATCAAATCCACTGGCATGTGGACCCAAATCTTGCGGGATTGGTCTGAAATTTCTACTTTGGACTCCGTCAAACTTTGTGATCATCGCTGTCCTAGTCAAGTGGGTGGATGGGGGGGATGTGCTGCCAGATGTACCGCTGGTTCGGCTGGGGGTGGAATATATACCTAAGACATGTGGCCAGCCAGGCGACTTAGGGTAGTGCACCCACGATCTTAGCCTTAGCGGGAGAACACTAGGCTGTCTCGGAGAGAAAGTATAAAAACTCAAGCAAATCCCTGACCTGGCACATGTTTGCTTCACTTTATGTGCCTTAACCAGGACTCGAACCCGGCCCCTGGGCTAGACAGGAGGGTGCCCTGACGATTTTTTTTTTTTTTTTTTTGATAACAAGGACCCACGAGGTCATGTAGGATTTATTTTGATGTTAGCTCTATAAATGGGTTGCCCCATTACTGGGGTCGCAAATAAAGGAGGGTGCCCTGACGAGTATACTACTCAGCCATTGGGCTAGTCAATTATGATGTTTCAGATTAAAAAAATAAATATCAATTGACAAAATTTCAGTTCGAATAGGAAGCACTGGTATAGAATATGAACAAAGTGAAGTCACGTGAAGTATCGTTATGAATTTCAGAAACTAAATGAATCCAGAAAAAATCTACTGTCCTAAATCGAGGCAACTTAAGCTCACGTCCTATAACAAGTGACGTCATGGTAGGTAGGACCAGAGGTATACCTATAGTGGTACCCTCAAACCCACCCCGTCCTGCCTGGACGTGAGCTCAGCCACCCGATCCTCCCCGCTATAATAAATAGTGGACTCTCCGTCCCTGAAGTGTTCCTTACCTTTATCTTGGTACAACACTTCAAGTATGCAACCTCATTCATCTCAGTACTAGTTACTTGTATAGTATTATATGTATCATAAACTAATAAAGACCTTTATCTTGGTACAACACTTCAGTGTGTTCTATGTATTTGCGTCTCGTTGCGGTTTTTAAGGGCATCTCAGTATAACCCCCCGGTTCTTAAGACAGTGATTTTTTCACTACTCCATCGAAAGCTCGCTTAGCTTAGTCGGTAGAGCCAGAGCACCTTTCCTTCCTACCATAAATTTTTTAATAAAATTGTGGTTGCCTTTTGCAAATAAAGAAATACTTAATTTACTCAGCCAATTCGCAACGGTCAGTCCAACGGATAGGCCTATTCTCTTACTTTTATCTCCCCCTTCCCCTTCATCTAATGGCGGATCGACTTCCACCGCCATCTCCCCCTCCGTCTTCCTCGAATGAGGTAGATGAGGGACACGATCCCCTGGCTCAGGCAGGGGATGTAGTAAAAAACAATAAAATTAAGCAGTCCCTGAGCTTTGCGGAGATGGCCCGCAAAAGCTTATCCAAGAAAGAAGTGCAGACCAGTTGGAATGCACTTCGTAAGAACGCAGTTGTCCGTGCGTTCAGCACAGAGGTTGAGGAGCACTCTGTGTTTTTCACCCCACACCACGCTCCCACCACCTTCGCTGTCAAGTATGACAGGAAGACCCACCTCGTCTCTGACGTGGTGGAGGCCATTCGCCTGGCTTTCCCCAAGGCAGTTGGTCTTGACCCTGTTGTCCCAGGGGTCGTAGTGGTTCTCGTGAGGACACAAAAAGAGGTGGACGAGGCCATTGCGTCTCCTCCTCTCCCCTGCAATCCTGCTCCTGTCAGAGCATACCATACGGTCCATTCCACAGGAAGCCGACTCAGGATTCGGGTTGACCGAATCACCCTCTCTACTCCGGAGGATCGTCTGGAGTATATCAAAAATATCTTTGGTAAATTTGGCCGTGTAATCCACACCAAGTTCCATTACGTCAAGGGATCGGAGACTCTTTTGCTCCCTTCCTTCGAATTTGTGTTAGAGCTCTCTGGGGACTCCCCTCGAGACCTCCTTATCCCCCGCGTGGCCCAAGCTGAGGGTATTAACACGCTTTTCCACTGGTATGGGCCCCAGTACTGCTACAAGTGTGGTGAGGAGAACCACGTCAAGCAGTCCTGCCCCCAACCACCCGAGTTCGATCTCCTCTCGGCCCCTAAAAGAGTCATTATGGCTCGCGCGTTCTTGCCTGCGAACGCGCCCGCAAGGGCCCCTCCTGCGGTCCCTCAAGCTCCCAAGGCTACCAAGGGTCCCAAGGTCAATAAGGACACCCCATCCTCCGACAAGGAGGAATGGACAACTGTCACCTCCACCAAGAGGAAAAAGGCAGCAAAGAGGACTTCTTCGCGGAGCACAGGCTCAACTTCGGCATCGGAAAGTGATGTCCCAAGGAAGAAGATTACCGCTCGCAAACTCAACACCAAGGAGAGCACCTCTGTCCCCGCCCCCGTATCTTCCGGTCCCACACAACAGGAGCCAACTGTTTTGATAGAAGAGATCAAGGTAGCTGATGCTGCCGCTTCTTCTTCTTCCTCAACACAAGGTGCCACCTCAGGTCCTGCAGACACACATGCGTCTGTGGATCAGTCTCCAGAGGCACCTAGTGCAGCTGAGACGGCGCCGCTGCCGGAGCCTCTTTCCGTCTCCTCAACTGATGCCATTGTTAGAGACGAAGAAATGGACTTGACTACCGAAAAGACCATAGAAGAACATCTTGACTCCTCCTC